TCACACAGACTTCTGGAGTAATCATAAGTGTAGATTATTAATGAATGTTCCACTTACGCTTGAAAACCAGTCAGTGTCCATCTACATTTGTTGCAATTTTGAACATTGTTGTTTTGCCATTTGTATTCTTAGAAAATATGTTTGAACTACATTGATTTGACTTTATTATATTACGCACTGACAAACACATTTTGTTTAATGTGTCTTAAGTGTCCAAATATGTTTTGAGGCCACTGTAGATGGAGACAACAAACATTTTGACGTCCGATGCTCAGAAGGAGTGAGCGCAACAACAACATTTTCTGGATGCTTTCCATGTTAGTAGAATGTCTAAATGCCTTTCCGGGGCGGCAGTGGCTCAGTGGTTCATGTGGGTTGTCTACGAACCGAAAGGTTGGTGGTTCAATCCTCGGTTCCACCTGACCAAGTGTCGAGGTGTCCATGAGCAAGACACCTAACCCCAGCTGCTCCCGACGAGCTGGATGGCGCCTTGCATGGCTGACACCGCCGTCGGTGTGTGAATGAGTGTATGAATGGGTGAATGTGAGGCAAATGTAAAGCGCTTTGGTGGCCATTAGGTCTATAAAGGCGCTATATAAATGCAGTCCATTTATAAATAAATGCAGTCCATGTTACATTGTTTAAGCCGAGATTTACAGGAGCGTTTAGACGGCGAGTGCCCGCTGGCTTGGCGCTGTCAAGCGTTTGCAGCTTTAATCTGATCTATTATGCTGATGAGTTTGACTCGGTTCCAGAGCCTTCAGTGGCTTCACACTCTCACAGTGAGCTGGCAGCCGACTCCATCACCTGCGCTGGTGAGCACACCGACACTTTGTCACTCAGTCACACCTGATCCGAGTCCAAAAGCGGGTTGTTCACACCAATTCTAGTTCACGTTCTCTCCTCGAGCGTGCCAGAGAACTCCTTTGTCTCTGGAAATTTAAGTAAGAGAGGAGGTGTGCTTCTCTTCCTTCCTGGGATCCTACGTGTGTATGTCTATGTGTGTGTGTGCATTTGGAAGAGAGGCATGAATGAATTAATGATGTCTAAAGTAAGTAGGGCATGTTATAATGATGAATGTGTGTAAGGTGTGTTCATAGGACAGCAGAGCGGGAAGTAAGTGTGAGCGAGTGGAGCTCAGCTTCAGCCCTGCAGCTTCTAAACTCTAAGAGATATTCTCAAACAAACCCTCTCATATATCATCACGATACACAGTCCCAGCACTCCTCTTCCCCATTCTCATGTGCTATCACTCCCCCTTCAGCATGCATGCATATTCCCTACTACAAGATGCTTTAGAATGTTATAGGCCAGACACTGAAGCATGACAAATATTAAAGGGACAGTTTAATAAAAAAAAATGTACATAATTTACTCACCCACATCTTGTTCCAAGCCTGTATGCCATTCTTTCTTTCCCTGGAACATGATGAGAAAAGTTTAGCAACTTGCCCCAGGAGCTCTTTTCGGTCCAAAAATACAAAATAATGGAATTTTGGTTAATATTTTTAATGAATATTGAGTTTTTATGAAGTCTTTTGGTTTTGGAACAACAATTGAATTTTTGAAGGAACTACTTTAAATGCTTGTATGTGCACTGAAGTGTCATTATAAATGGAAAATACAAGGTTTAATAAGATGTTTTTACAATATGGTAAAGCTAAAAGGAATACTCTAATCATATATCAATATAAATACACAACATACAATACCAATCAAAACAGTGATTGTATTCATTTATGAAATAAATAAATACTTTTATCAAACAACAATGCATTCAATTGATTAAAAGTGACAGTAAAGACATTCATGTTACAACAGTTTCTACTTCTATTGTTTCTATTTAGAATAAACGCTGTTCTTTTGAACAAATCTATTCATCAAAGAATCCAATATATATATATATATATATATATATATATATTTATATCACAGTTTCCATCATGTGCTGGTGAGCACAACATGATCCAAGTTCAAATGCAGGTTGTGTCAGAGAACTTCTTTTGACTCTAAACATTTAAAGGGGAAATAAACTTTCCATTTGAAATTCCTATTCATGAAAGAATCCTGAAAAAAAAAAAACATTAACCGTTTCCACAAAAAAAATTATTAAGCAGTGCAACTGTTTTAAATTTTGATAATAATAAGAAATGTTATTGAGCAGCAAATCCGCATGTTAGAATGATTTTTGAAGGATCATGTGACACTGAAGACTGGAGAAATGGCTGCTGAAAATTCAGCTTTGCCATCACAGGAATAAATTACATTATTAAAATGAATACTGTAATCATATTTTACAATATTACAGTTTTTTTCTGCATTTCTGATTAAACAAATACAGCCTTGGTGAGCAAATGAGGCTTCTTTTAAAAGCACTTGAACTAAAAAACCTTACAGACCTCAAGACTTTTGAACGGAAGTGTAGATTACACTAATTTAAATGTAAGTGGATAAAACGCTGCTTAAACAGACACAAATAGGCTCTTTCTACACAATCAAGCAAACCCAGTCAGTCAACCAAATTCCACTCAGTTGACCCCAAGATGATAAAAAGGAGAAATGCAAGGGATGGAGGAATGTCCCTGAACTGAGAATAAGGTCACTCCTCGCAATCTTCTCTCTCTGACTGCAACATGACAAAACATCCAAAGGCAAATCTGCAAACTCAACTACAGGAAATAAAAAACCCCGAAACAAAAGGAAAACATCCCCCGTCCACGACGGCCATGAAGACAAATCCAATTATTTGTGTCTCATGTTGCAAATTTGTTCTAATGGATGGAATAGGAAAATAAATAAGTGCCTGTAAAAGGAAACAAAGGAATGCGATTTCTAATTAACATGAAAGAGAGACGAAGAGACGTGTTAGTAAACCCATCTTTCATCCTTCTCCTCTCCTCATAGCCGGCACATTTGTTTGTGCCCGAATGTTGTCTTTTAGAGGGAAGCGTGTTTCCATTTCTCCAGCAAATTAAATGTCAACAGATTTAACATCGGCTCCAATCTCATTTTTTTTCTGGAGCATTTTGTCGATTTTATTGTTCATTAAGCATTTTTTTTTTTCTTTAGCCTTGCTTGCGCTCAAGCGCCTTTATTTGTCACATCTTGGCTTTGAAGATCACAAAGGCCTGGGACAATAATTAGGTTTAGTGTAATTACGAACTGAGCATAATGAAAGAGTTGAAGGGAAATGTCTGGCCCTATCTGCTCACTGCCTCTCTCTGGATAACCATTAATCCCACATTAGCCCTGCACTGTCACTCTAAACAACGGCTTTGAGAAAGATGGTATTATCAGATGACCAGGTCACTCACAAAAAAAAACTGAATTTGATATCAAAGATGTAAGAAGAGGGCAGATTGGTTCAGCTGCTGTGTAAAACACTGAGGTTTAGATATTGTAAAGCAAGCTGCCTGCATTTGACCCTGAACAACATTAATAATGAGAAAGAAAAAGTAATTTAAACAGAGAACTATAAAGCCCTCACACGACCCTTAACAACCAAAATCTGGTTTGCTGTTGTTCAGCTCAAACTAAGTTCAAGAAAGCGCATCGTAAACAGCCTTGTAGCACGTTGTTTTCTCTCTGTTGTTTTGACAAGAAAACACCTTTTTCGATTAGCTTTATAAATACCCCAGTAACGTACCTGATTTAGGGCTTTTATACACTCCATGCTGTGTGTCAATGAGCGTGTGACAACTGTGCCGCACCTGAATATCTGCAAGCTCTTTTGGCAGTCTGGAGACAAGAGCTGTTTCCTTCATGTAGAGTATAAAGAAAAAAAAAAGCAACACAAAAAGTTTGTTTGTTAGTTTGCTCAAACATTTTAAAACAGTATTAATTAACAATTTAATTACTATTAAGTCTTAAGAGACGTTTATTACACCCAGTAGATAGATAGATAGATAGATAGATAGATAGATAGATAGATAGATAGATAGATAGATAGATAGATAGATAGATAGATAGATAGATAGATAGATAGATAGATAGATAGATAGATAGATAGATAGATAGATAGACAGACAGACAGCCAACATGATTTGAAGATCTGAGTGCTCTGGTAGGACAGTGTAGTTGAAGAAGGTCATTTTGAAAGATATCTTAACTTTTCATTAAATCTCAGTTTACAAACGACTAAATCTCAAATCACATCAATGATCGAAATATCTTAACAAATGTTATTGTCTGTCAGTCTAACAAGAGGCTGCATTTGTCAGGGCAATGTCATACTCACAGATGAAACTCCAGGTGGCGAGTGCAGACCTGAGCAGCATAATGCAAGAAAGAACAGCCTGGGTGTATGGACAGGTTCCCAAAAAGCTGGATTCTGGCTTCACCTTTTACCAGCAGATGAATATAGGGCAATATCTTTACACTCTTAAACACATAAGACATAACCACCCAAAGATTAACTCACAATGTAGTGGGGTACTGGCTGGAAAGACTGAACACTGACGGGTTTTGCAGAACATCAGATCACCTCGATCTGCCACTGGGAAGAAAATAAGGATTCAGTTAGCTCAATTTTACATAAACAAATAGACTGTTATTCTATTTTAGTAGGCTACTGCAAACGTCATTATGACCAGAATGGACCATGTTTTTTATAAATAACCTTTACCATAACAGTTAATGGTCTAATGGGAGGGTTATGTTTAGCTTTAAAACACATATAACCTGAGCCACTATGGACACTAAATAAGCTACAGCTGCATTTCATTTCATAATATGATTTCACTGCACAGAATACAGTTGACAATTTGTAAACAAAATGAGGGCAGTTGATTGAACACGAGAAACAGCATTTCTGTTATCAATAGTAAATTAGCTTGCCTAATAACATAGTAGGCAGGCAGGTGTGGCAAACAAAGTGTAGCATTAATACCATCCACGTAGAGAAGATTAAAAAGTCTTTCTCTTTGTGCTCAAAAAACGAAGACGACGAACTAATCTTGTGCGCCATCTTGTGTGAAGAAGACAATACTACTGCAAAAGTCAAATTATTATGTGTCCAGGAGATGGCAATATTAACACAATATTGACAAGCTTCCATACAAGCTTATTTTTTGCAAAATGAACAAAACTCTATTGGACTACTGTATCAGGACGTTGACTTTTAATGGTTGTTTGTTTGTAAGTTCTTCGACATATCGTTATTTTTCTGTCAGAAGCGATTGTTTTCTATCTCGCGTGCGCCGTTGTCATGGTGACCAGACGCCCGAATACTTGCCTGTGAGCTTCTCAATATGGTAAGTATCCCAATGTTTTTACAAAAGGAAAAAATTTTAAAGCAACAAAATATAAGCACATATGTGCTATAAAGTCTGTTTTCAGTAAATTAACCATGACTGCTTATTTAATGAAACGTGAAAGTCCCGAGAAAATGTGAACTTAGCATCTTGACATGCGTGTTAGCAATGCCTGTCTGAAAATACAAAACGTTAACTTAGCCTTAACTCCTTTTCTGTAAAAACTCTTTTTCTTTTTTCCCCCATAATCCATTTATTTATCAATTATAACAGCTTCCAACCTTAGTTTTTAGTTTTAGTTTATTTACGGTTTAAATGTTTTGTTTTGTTTTTTGTCAGGTGGGCTTATGTAGTCTAAAAAATAAAATAAAAAAACCCAAGTTTGCCAGTAAATTAAAGTCTGTATAATTAATAACATCTCTTCACTTACTAATTTGTTTTATTAGAAATTGTACAGTTTTGTAGAACTATAATTGTTTAAGCTAAATTGTTTCATTAAAAATGAAATAAATCATTTGGTCACTTTACACAGCATTAATTAATAACTTGCAACTTTTGTATCCAGTCTGCAAAAAAGAAAGGAGGAAAGAACCGCAAGGCTGAGAGGGAGAGATTGCAGAGAGAGGCAGATGAACAAAGATTGAGAGAAGAAGGTATATCTGCAGTATTAAAGTAATTTAACTTTAAATTAGTTTTTTGATTGATAACAAATCTTTATACTGCGTTTTGTCCTGTAGAAGAAGCTCGTCTCATTGCTGAACGTGAGGAGAATGAAAGGCTGGAGAGGGAGCGAATAGAACAAGAGAAACAACAGCTACTTGAGTTAAAGGTCTGATGAACATTCACAGTGTTGCAGACACATACCTGCAGGCTTTAGTGCATATGCAGCTGTCTGTACTGATGGATTGTGTGTGACAAGATTAGATGTGATGATTGATTGACGCCTGTCAATGTCCACAGGACAGAGAGCGCAGAGAGGACGAGCTGAATGAACTGCGGCACATTCTAGATGAGAACCACTCTGCAGTCACCGTGTGGGAATCAGAATGCAGGGACAAATCTAAGGTACAAGACTTATAGTTTTATCTCAGGGTAATTCTGAGGCTACTATAAGTGTTACAGGATGATTTGTTTTTTTTAGTGGGAGCGTTACATGCGTTGCGACGGCAGTCCGGATCCAGCTGTGCAGCCGGAAATCAACACATTCATCAGTTTGTGGAGAGAAGACTCTGAAACCCAAATCTCAAAAGTCTTGGAAAACTGTGCTCTGGCTCTTCAGGTGAGACCAGCACTTTGGATCTGTTGTTTGCATGGTTTCAAGTCAATTATTGATGATCCTAGTCATTCGAGTATCATTATTGTTGATCATTTTAGTATTAAAGTTGACACATAACTCATCCCTCTGTGCTAAGACTATGAGTGATACCTCAAATCATGTCATTTGTTAAGGATCCAATTTGTTAAGGAAATCTTTTGGCCTAAAAAACGAGTGACATAGGGCACCTTTAAGCATCACATTTTTTAGAATTGTCTCCAATTTCTCTTGGACAGTTGATAGACGAACTAGACCTCCTCTTGAGTGAAGGTCCTGAGCCATATACTGCTCAACAGTATCGAGAAACAGTCCTTTGTCTACAGGATCTCAACCTCTACAAACTCAACCAGGCCACTGAGGAGCTTCTTAAGGTGAGATCTTCCCATGCAGCTTACTTCTATTTCAACACAAATTGGATTTAATATATGTTTTGCTCCCCGTCCAGTTTGCCAATTCTAGTTGTGACATTGAGACTGGGAACATGCAGACTGTAGTCCAGAACGACAACATTTCTCTTTGTCTATGGGCCAACCTCAACAAAAATCCAAGGTTTGTCAGTCTTCGTGGTGAAATTTTGCCACTATTTTAGGATAAAGGAAATACTTGACAATACATGTTTCCAGGTTTAAAGGTTACCGGTTCGAGGAGGTGGGTCTGGGCTTCGAGCTGCCGAAGCCGCTGGCTGTGAGTGACATCGCTGTTCGGATCCTTCACACACGCTATGACCACTTGTCCCACCACAGCGAGCGTGAACAGGTCCAGAGAAGGAGATCCATGATGGAGGGCTTTCTCACTTTGCCATCTGAGAATACTGCAGTGGTGGAAGATGGGAAGATAGAGGGAGAGGAGGATGAAGGAGAAAGCTCAAAGCAGGTGGAGGAAGAAAGCCATTCAGTCGGATCAGAGAGCAGGAAGAGGGTGAGTGAGGCTTTGATCATGTGTAAACTATGTACTTGTTTTCTAGTGGATTCTGTCACTGACAATATTAATGTGTCCATGTGTCAGAGTGCTGTGAGTGTGGTCTCAACTAAGGAGGGGAGGAAGAGCTCTTCAATCAAGCTGTTAGAGGAAGGAGAAAGTCAGATGGAGGGAATCGCTAAAAGTTTAGAAGCTGGTTTGGTCCCTTTTTTATCGTCTTTATATCAAACAACATGAGATGAGGATGAAATCTTTATCACATAAAAATAACAAAATTTGTTTTAGTTCACTATGATTATTTGTAAAATACCCAATGCTTTAAATTATGAACTGGATTGTTCCATATTTGAAATAAATTATTTCAAGCCCCTGTATAATAGTCAAAATTTACACAGAATTATTAGTATTATCAAACGTTAATGGGCCAAATGCAATGTGTTTAATATTATCAGACAGGCCAATTAACTGGCAGAATCATTATTTTATTGTGGTTGTTATTAATTATGTATAGACCATTTTGCAAGATGTAAACAACACTGGTCCAGAAGCACTTCCTGTTTCAGTTTTTTAACACTACATAAATGCTGGGATAAAATACAACCAACAGAACATATGAAACTGAATCAAAAAGTTAAACAAACATCTTTAAGTTGTTTTCTTTATATGTGAAATAAAGAAAACAGTTACAAACAGTGTTGTTTACATCTTGCAAAATGGTCTATATGGACACTGATGCCACAATTTGATAAAAGCAATAAACCACTGAAGGATCTTACATCATAGTCTAGCTCACAAAATCGTGAACTGCACGTGACTGCATGAGTGCGAGTTGAGATCTATATTAATATGTACATATTATAGTTATGTTGCACTACAGAAGTGTATTAAGTGGCAAATTATGTTGTTTTTTCCTTCTTTTTTCCAAATTATTAATATTATATAACTATGCTTTGCATTGCACCTAAAAACACAGCTTACTCGTACTTGGGTATTAGTCCAATTATTTTGATGTCAGGATGATATAAATTGTTCGTCGAAATGCTATACTACTTTTAGTTAAATACAAATAATACATACTGCAAGTTAATTTAGGCATCACACCATTATAACAAAATATGATGATGGGATTTCATTTTGAGATCTGCTAAAGATTACATTGTGTTATTAAATTAATATGTATTAAATTGTCTCTAGATCAAAATTGCTCCGACCCATCAACAGCTGAACTGGAGTTTGACAGTGCTGACATACACATAGTGGATCTGCAACAGTTCACACCTTTAGGCGGAGTCTTCTACTTTGATGTCTTCCATCTACCACCCCAGTCTTATATAGTGAGGGGCTGGGAAATGAGAGAGGTACATCTTGGGATGTAATCAGGGACTCTCTGCAAGAGATCATAGAAAGTAATTTGCATTAATAATCATTTGCTGTTGTGCTTCCTCATAGTTGTTAGAGACCGGTCTGCAGGTGTCCCCCTATCCCACAGAGCAGTCACGCGTTCAGAGCTCTACCTCAGTGAAGCTGGATGAACACAGTAGCACTGTTGTCTCATTGCCTGTAGGGGTCACTGTAGCTCTGCCTGACTCAATAATCTTTCTGGAGAGTCCACAAGTGGCACGCTGGAATCCCCTCTGTAAACAATTCACACCATACGTACAGTATAAATGCAACAATAGATTTATATTGTATACATTCAAATCTTAGTACAGTATTTTACCGTATGCCTGTTATTGGTCACCGTTTGTCTGCAGGCCAACACTGGCGGACGGACTGCATCTCTGAGACAAATTATGACGCAGAGGCCCGCAGCATCTCCTTTCAGATGAATGCATTCCATGCCTTTACATTACTGCAAGAGTCTTATGCTAATATGCCTTTCCAGTCATGGGAGCTGAGGCCCCTGGGCCAAGACTCAGCATTGTTCACAATCACTGGAGCTCTTACTGAAGTCAGCATCACAGTCAAGGCAAGAGAGACCCTGTTCAAACATATCCAAGATTATAAAAAAAAACGTGTGCTAAATTCTTAGAAATGTACTCAATTTAAAAAAAGCAAGACAAAACAAGCATTAAAACACAATTACTCCATGTATGAATTACATTTTTAATGTAGTTTTGAACATATCAAAAAGTATCCTGTCAGAGGCATTTAATTTATCTAAGCCTTAGTTTCAAGTTCATATCATTTTGGATACATACTAAAGGTCCAAAAAAATCAACAGGACTGATCGATAGCTTTTTTGTTTCTTAGGGTAAGCAATGTATGCTGCAAATGGAGGAGAAAAAATACCTGGATAAGCTTCTAGGAAAGTGGATGAGCCCCTCAGAACTGCAGAAGGCCATGAGGAGAGCTGGGATCAATATATTTGTGAATGAGTATTCCGACAAGTACGTCAGCATCAACTCAAAGGTAACAACGGGGCTGAATTGCCATAGAGCCAATTCAATAATTAACTGTTAAATAGACCAGTTATAGAAACCTAGCTTTGAGCTTGCTATAATTTTTATACATTTTTAGGATCCATTAATAGAGCACACAGTTTACGAACAGATGGCCCTAATGTCCTCTGCCGTGGCTTTTTCCTGGAGCCGCTGGAACACACAATGCGGACAAGAGCACCTTGTTCTTCAGGTATGTCATACACTCCTATAAACAGACTGAAGCCCTATTGAACTACTATGTATGTGTTTTAAGCAGGCAGTACCTCTGACCTTTAACTTTTTGACTCTGGTAGGCGTGTGAGCAGCTGGAAGCGGTGCCAGTGACTGAGGAGATGTGGTCTCTTTACTTGCTGGGTGCTCAGAGGAATCAGCATCTTAAGATGAAGGAGGATGACAACAGCTTCTCTGCTGAACTGAGCGAGGGCAGCGAGTTCCACTCCACCTTTCTGCACATGCTCAGACAGGACATGAGCATCGAGGGACAAGCTAGAGTCAGTCAGTCTCACTATCTCTACGTAGACACCATACAGAGGCTCCTGTGTGCAACACGTGTCCTCACATATTCCTGAGATTAGAAAAAATACACATCCAGAAACAGGCAACATGCATACACACTAATATCTAAAACATTTAACAGCCATTTTGAACTTGTGATAGTCATTGCAATATGCTGTGGATATGAAATTACACTCAGTATACTTCTCTTTATAACCAGCAAGTGGAGCCAAATGATCTTGAATGAATTTTTTTGATACCAGCAATATGAAATATGTAAAAGAAATAAATATTTCAGCGCAGTTTATAGTGCCAGAATATAAACTGTGTGAATCTCATAAAACCGGACCTGTAAAAATATAGTTCATTTTAATCAAATTGAATTTTAATAAAGAAATTGCAAATACATGAGAAATTCAATTCTGAAGGGGCATTAAGATATTGTTAGCAGTGTGAAAATATAAACTTACACGGTTTACAATCACAATACAAAACCATCCTAAAAACAAGCTTCATAAATATAAATTATATTTAAAATATATATATTATATCAGATACAACATCTATTGATTTTGGGGCTAAAACATGAATCAGACATGTTTTGGTGAGATTCTCCAAAATGAGATTTATAGATTATTATATTAATGTTGTAGCATGTACTATTTGCCATTGATTTGTATTTTATATTGCATTGGATGAACGATTCAAATTCTGAAGCGTCATGATCTATTTAGCTTGTTTTCCTATAAATAATAAATAGTGAGATCATTTGGATCAGTTTCTTTTATTGTGCAAAGTCCCCCCCCCCTCTTTGGAACATACAAAAGTGAACATTAAACAAACACCAAAACCAACAGCTTAATAAGGTTAAAAAGGTTGTGTTTGTAACAACTAATAATATCGGGAAAACAATCTACTGCATAAAACTGTAAAACAATAAGTTAACAAAAAGAAAAAAAAAATATTTTTTTTAAAAATCTCAATACTCTTTCAAACATCCCATAAAAATACACTGATCAATTTTTAAAATGTTTAAAAAAAGTCAGCCTTTTCGGGCAACTGATATATGATGTTCGACATTCACACTGTTGCAATCTGCTCATCTCACTCTGTGATTGGCTGGCACTGAGTATCTCATATAAATGCCTACAACATACGTGGCCAACACAACGGTTTGTGTGCACAGCATCCAAGCAGTCTACAGTTTTCAGCGCATCTCTCTCAAGACGCCCACATTTCTCTTTACCGTCAGTAAGAAATGGTCACAAAGAGTTCTTTTAATAGGACAGGCAGCAGTGTTGCATCACAGCTAGTGTAGCCGGAGGAGTTTCTGAATGTCAGGACCGGCTACTCCATCCTTGCAGATGCCCAGGTGTCACACAGGGGGCTGGGCGTTGTGCCTCAGCCCAGTATAGGGCCACAGAAGCTGCTGGATGGTCATCCAGGAGTCCCCGGTGCCCACAGGTGCAGCATCTACTGCAGGCTGTAACATTAGGCTTGCCAATAGGGCTAGCAGAACAGCTAGCACTACAAACAAGGCCACCCAAATCCAAATGCCCCTGGTGCCTCTGGACACTGCTGGTCGCCCCTCTATCAAACTGGGTGGAGTGTGATCTGTTGGGCTGGGGCTTGGACTGGGATGGAGAGTGAAAGAAATGTTTAAACAAAGGTACAAAAGCATTCCTTCAACAAACAGAATCAAGGCGTTTTCTAATGCTAAACCAGGAAAGAGAAAGTAAAGTTCATGGTATTGTAATTAGCAGCTGAACACTTTATACAGTAGATATCTTTAGGTCAGTAAAATACTCTGTACAAGCAATGACTTGGCAATGAACAGTAACCATGTGGTCTCATTGTGCATACTTAATGTGCATTCATTAGGAATCAATAGCACATGAAATTGAGCTGATTTAGCTAGAAGTGTTTACATACACATACTTGTATAGAGTATGTTCTGAGCTTTAATTTTAGAAAATGTACAAAGCAGGTCATAAAAAGCAAAAAAAAAAAAAAAAAAATGTTAAAAAAAGTCAGTCTGAATGGGTGAGACGGCTGAGGCGACCTGAAGAGAAATTAAAGGAATGTGAAAACTGACAGCTGTTGCTGAAAGCAATGTTTGACAAAGCACATGATAAACAAGATAAATATGAATGTTCTGTGATAGACTGATACATATAAAGGTCAGGCCGGGTAGTCGGCCAATACTCTAACATGTTGAGTTGAGGTCAGCCAATAATTGACTGGCCGATTAACAGAAGCAGCCGCTGTTTCGAAATATACCAGCTACTTTCATTCTTGAATTTTGAAAAGTGTTTTAGACTACAGTTCAAAAGTTTGGAGTCTCTTATGCTCACAAAAGATCAAATATAGTGTTAAAAAAAGATTGTAAAATCTTATTACAATTTAAAAAAAACTTTTCAATTTTAACATATTAGATGTAATTTATTCCTGTGATCAATGAATTTTCAGAGTCACATGATCCAACAAAAATCAATCTAATATGCTGTTTTGATAAAAACGGTTGTGCTGATTAATATCTTTGTGGAAATCAAGTTCAAAGGAACATAATTTATTTGAAATAGAAATTGTTGAAATTAGATAGAAATTAGAAATTGAAATTGAATAGAAATTGTCATTATAAGAGCATGTTTTACTGTCATTCTTTTTTAATAAATGTAATCCATCTTTGCTGAATAAAAAAAAAATATATTTCTTAAAAAACAAAACAAAAAAAAAATCGTACTGACCCGAAACTTTTGAACAGTAGTACACAAGCATATCTCCATCCTCATCTCTAGTTATCGGTCTACCACTCATCCTGAAATATTTCAAGAAAATACCCCAGAGAACTTCAGCACACAACTGTGGGATCAAAGTACACTGGCAAATTTGCAAATGCCAACAACGGTCCACCAATGTGCAGAAAAAAATATATTTTAAGAACTTTCTTTTCTCTGAAACCACAGCTGATTAGATTACTTGCTGCAAACCAAAGCAGAAGACATGCAGTGTCATAATGTGTGTTAAAGATATATGCAAAGCTAACGAACATAACGGGTGTCCAGCGTCCATTCAGAATATAAAGTTGCTTTCCCAGCTTAGCTGTAGGAGCAAAAGGCAGTGACATTATTGACAGAAAACCCTCGATTTGTAGTACGTAGATAATGCCTGGATGCTGAAGCAGAGAAATAATGGATGTGGAGGATACACTAACGTCTTAGTTGGCATTATGAAGGAGGTGATTTTGATGCCTAGTTCTGTTAGGCTAGACCTTCTGTCCGCTTGTTCCTCTTTCTGCTCCTCCTCCGAGTGAGAGTCAGTTTCATATCCATACCTGTGCAAAGTTTACACTGTACTGACCCATCTTGGCTCAAGGCCTCCATTGTGGATCTGCATGACAACTTTTCGATGGCACATTTGCTTTATGATTTTGACATGAAATCGATGCAAAAGACGGACGGTACACAACAGTTCTTCACGCGTGACCTTACCTATTCATCAGACTGGGCTCGTCAATGTCGGCCCAAGTACCAGAGCTAACGAAGCGCTTTAGAGGTGGCCTCTTGGCTGTCATGATCCTGTAAAGCGGTTGACACACAGCCATGACATGGTGCTTTGTTTATAAAAACAATCGGCATGCAACTCCAGAAGAGGTCATGGGTTCGACCCACAAATTAAGTGTATAATTTCAATGCACTTTAGGTATCTTTCAATAAAAGTGTCTGCCAAATGAATAAATGTTGTTCTGAGAAGTCTTGGGTCACATTAACCCTTGTTTTGGGGGACAAAGTTAAAGGCTGTTGTGTTTTGTGGACCAGACAATCTCAAAAACAGCATCTGTACACTTACCATGGTGACCGACGAGAAAGTCTCTCAACCTCAGTCTCTGCCATGTCTTTGGGCTGTGAATTAGAAACCACTGTTAATTCAGATGTTCCACTTCTCTCTACCAAAAGCATCTCAAAAGCAAAAATGGACTACTCACCATGTCAAAATGAGCCTGTCCTCCCACGTTGCGGGGAATGGTAGCTATACTGATGCGTCTGCTAGTGGTCTTTGGAGAAAACACAAATATCAGTAAACTCTGCAAGCTGATCCATGATCTTAACATGGTGCGTTTTGTTCTAAAACTCACTTTGAACATGTTTGAGGCTGACTGCTTCTTGTTTCTAAAATCATCTGCAAGTATAAAATAAATCCCATGTAAATAAGACACAAAAGAGACTAGTATTATTAATATTTTTAATAATATTTTTGTAACGACTAACCCCTCTCAGAGGACCCAAATGGCCTCTCGTTCGGCGTGAGGTTCTCCCTGAGCTCCAGCAGCTCTGCGTGCTCCTTGGTGTACATCCTCCTCAAATTCTCCACATGCTGAATCATCACCTCCACCGTTTTACCCACTCTGGTCTCCTATACATGCCAAGAAGTAAACAAGAAAGCTTCTTTGCTAACTTTGGCTTTAGTGGGCTATTTCAGCATTCTGAATAACCAGAGTGAACACACAAACCTGATGAATGGCCCCAAGCATCTCTGAACGGCTTGACACTCTGGTCATGGATTGGATGAGGATCTCAAGGTTCTTCTGCAGACGATGAATGATCTCCATGGACTGGTTATCCTCCTCACACCGTGGGATCAGGGCCTATAAAACAAAACAGTGTAATATTCAAGCTACTTCAAACAGGAATTTAGATCAATAATAATTCTCTGATGTGAGCTGAAAATTCTTTGTGCTGAGCAGAAGACTACTTCATTGCATTGACAAATTAGACTGCCTTTAAATGTAATTTCTAAGGAATAAAAATGCAGAAGCCTGCAGAAAAAGGACAATGACAGACCTGCAGTAGACCTTTACAGCCGTTTACTTCCTTGCGGACATTCTCCTCGGCCAGGTCTCGTGAGCGTTCCTCCAGGCGTAGCCTCTTCTCCAGGGTGAAGATGTCACATTTGAAGCCCAGAGAGAGACGGTGGAACTCCGCCTGGAGGAGAGCACACAGTACACTTTAAAAACAGATATGCTTTTGCAAATATTTTTGCTTTTTCACTAGTTTAGAATGTAGTTCAGGTCTGTTTAAAACATATACCATTATAAAAATCCAGCCAAATTCCTTGAAATTTCTCATCACAACTATTATAAATATGTAAAAAGGTGTTTATCAATTTAATTTAAGATACAAAAAAAAAAAAAACTTACCTCAATTTCTTTTTCACTTGGCAACAGGCTGCAGATGAAATGCACATTTCAGATTAATGGGAACATGACTATGTCAAGTGAATTGTGAATACATGCTGGAATCAGATCAGTACACAACGCATTATAACCTGTTCTTGTCATCTTTGGTGGAATCGCTTGCATTTTCAGAGATGACAGATGTGTCACCTGAGGGCGGAGGAGGAGATTGACAATGAGGAAAGACAAGATCTTAAGTAGAACTGGATGAGAAAGACAGTCAGACAGAGAGAGCATTTATCTAAAGGCACCTTTTTCTGTTGCCACTGAAGGCTCACCATCCTCCTGAGCTTTTTGTTCATCAATGGCTTCCATACTGCTCAATTCCTGTTAGAGAATCATTTCACTTTGTATATGCAACAAGTAGTTTACACAGGGCATCAGATGGCATTCTATAAATGTTGATTAATAAGATAAGTAATAAACAAACCTCTGAAATTAAAAGTATTTCATGAAAGTATCTGGAACAGCAGGTAGTACTGCACTTACCTGACAACATTTTGTTTAGTTAAATACAAACTGGTGAGAGTGGCTCTTACCTTCTTGAGCTTGTTCCTTAGAGTCAAGGGGTCTTTTCCTTCACTGGCAGTGGATCCAAAGGTCATGTCTTTTGGTTTTTCAGAAGGACCCTTTGATGAGTCAGGTGAGGCCGTTGAGTTTAAATCAGATGTGACCACTGTCCTTTTACTGTCTGTTTTGTCAAAAAAAAAAAGGAATAAAGAAAGGAGAATTAATTTTTGCAATTTTATAATTTTTTTTCTTGTAATATTTCTATTTAGCTTTAGGTTATATTTAATTTTTAATTTTTAATTTTAGTACTTCCATTTAAACTCATTTCAGTTAGTTGCCAAGGCAACATTTCTAGTTAGGGCCCCTTGAAAAGGCGAAGGCCCTATTGTTTTCCTTAGGATTTTTTTTCTTTCTATTATTATATATTTTTTTAATAATAATAATAATAATACAGGCACTTTTGGGGCTCTAAACATGCTCGAAAATGCCTTTCTGCCTATGAAAATGCCTTATTGATGCTAGAGGTCAGAGGAGAATGGGCCGACTGATTCAAGCTGATAGAAAAGCAACTTCGACTGAAATAACCACTCGTTACAACCGAGGTATGCAGCAAAGCATTTGTGAAGCCACAACACACACAACCTTGAGGTGGATGGGCTACAACAGCAGACGACCCCACCGGGTACCACTTATCTCCACTACTAATAGGAAAAAGAGGCTACAATTTGCAAGAGCTCACCAAAATTGGACAGTTGAAGACTGGAAAAATGTTGCCTGGTCTGATGAGTCACTCAGATGGTAGAGTCATAACATTTGTCATAACAGAATGAGAACATGGATCCATCATGCCTTGTTACCACTGTGCAGGCTGGTGTTGGTGGTGTAATGGTGTGGGGGATGTTTTCTTGGCACATTTTAGGCCCCTTAGTGCCAATTGGGCGTTGTTTAAAATGCCATGGCAACAGCATTGTTTTGGGCGTTGTTTAAATGCCACGGCAACAGCATTGTTTCCGACCATATCCATCCCTTTATGACCACCGTATACCCTTCCTCTGATGGCTACTTCCAGCAGGATAATGCACCATATCACAAAGCTCGAATCACTTCAAATTGATTTCTTGAACATGACAATGAGTTCACTGAACTAAAATGGCCCCCAAAGTTAACAGATCTCAACCCAATAGACCATCTTTGGGATGTGGTGGAATGGGAGCTTCGTACCCTTGATGTCCAGCATTTCATGACTCTCAATATCAATGTCAAAACCCAATGCTACTAAACATGTATTTAAAAAGCAAAATATAAATTTAAAAATGAACATTGCCATGCTTCCTTCAATTATTGGTCAATTATTTACACATTGCGTCAGGTTTTCTAACTAAATATTCAAGTAACAGTCAGTAATTAAAACAAATAAATGAAAAAATAGTTGTCTTTAGACATTTAATTGTCTTTCAGTCACACGGCTGGTATAGTTCAGACATACATTTGGTACATGGATACCAAAATGATTAGCTTCTCGGTACTATTGCATTGTATCTTTTTTGTACTAAATTGATGCTGAAATAAAAATGCATGTGACATCTTTACTTCAAATGTCAACAGGGAGCTTCCTCCTACCTGGTGAGTTAACCCCAGTTGATGTCACCTCCACTGCCTCTGGCATGGCCTCCTCTTCCTCTGCTACTGGCAATAAAAGATTTCTAAACAAATAAATAAACAATACAACAACTATTTAAGATATGCATATTACAACACGAACACACTCAGACCACCAATCACTGTGATTCAAGAGTATAATAAATGTACAGAAAAATAATCAGTTTCATAAAGAGGAAATACTCACTTGTCCGATTTTGCAGACACTTTAGAAAGCTGTCCCTCGCTCAGTCTCTATAAATGACAACAGCATGGCATTAAGACCCAGTGACACACTCTGAGCAGCAACACATATACACTTGTGAAAACCACTGTCTTGTGAAAATGAGCATCACACATGCACACAGTTCCATACCTGTCCCATGACATGGCAGATGAAATATAAAAGCTACACTCTGCTTTACAGAGAGAGAAGTGCTAGTAGATACTTACATAATGTGTATGAGAGCTCTACAGCTGGCAGGGAAAGAGAGAGAGAGGATGGCAAAGACAGGAAGAAAGAGAAAGAGAGAGAGAGAGAGGGAGGGAGTGACAGAAAGAGAGGGAGGGGGAGAGCACTTGTACTGGCAGAGTTCATTGAAGTGGGTGTGAAAAAGTGCTATACTTGTTCCAAACATACTGAAAAATCCACACACAAAGCCTGGGCAACATATTGTATCATCAAGTTTATAAACCAGAAGCATGATAGAAATCAATCAACCAACAAATAACACCAACAATGGTTGCAGGTCTGTTCCAGTTGAGTCACAGTTACCAAGAAGAAACAAATACATAATTTATGGTCTAGTTGCAAAATTAAGGTAATGATACACAGGGCAACTTTTTGAGCAATGTTGCTGGGCAATCTTGCCAAGTGATTGTTGCTTTAGCACTTTCCCATTGAGAATGGGCAATAAATTTCTATCTGGATACTTTAGATCGGTCGTGGGCCGTCTCTCAACTGGTTGCCCGTTGACGGCAACATTGCCCAAAAAGTTGCCCTGTGCATCATCACCTTTAGAACAGAAAAATAATTAGGTTTATGAAAAGCTTCCCATATTTTCTGTAGACGTCAAAGGCTGAGCACCCAATCTGTCATTTAGCAGAAGCTAGCCAAATAAGGCAGATCGCAACACCAGATGTCCAGTCAAATATCTAGGTATCAAAAACCAGTTATATACACTCTACAGTTCAAAAGTTTGGGGTCAATAATACTTTTCATGTGTTTATAAGAAGGCTCTTATGCTTACCTGACTAGATTTATTTGATCGAAAGTACAGTAACATTGTAATAGATCATGTGAGGGGTCATATGACAGAAGTATGGCTGGAGAATGGCTTCTGTTTACACACACACACACACACACACACGTATGCATATTATATATATATATTGAAATTAGTATAATATAAATATATTTTATACTGTATATATAAAAATATGAGTCAATGTTGAAAACAGTTGTGCTGCTTACTATTATTTTTTATGGAAACCATTTTCATTTTGTTTCAGAATTCTTTGATGAATGCAATGTTCAAAAGAACAACATTTATTTGAAATTGAAATGTTTTTTAACATTATAAAGGTCTTTATGGTATTTTTTAACAATTTACTAAGCATTCTTGACTAAGATTATTATGTCTTTCAAAAACAAGAAAATCTTCCCCACCACAAACTTTTGAACAGTAGTGAAAAGCAGCCAGCTTTTCTGTATTCAGGCAGGACTTGAATACAAGGCTTTTTCTTAAAACCATACCGGACTAATATTATTATTAGCAATAGGAAAGTCCATCTATCTCTTACTTGCACTAATATGCTACAGTACATATTCATAGAGGTCTAACACTGCCCACTCTCTATGAACTGAAAAGCAGAAAAGCCCTCAGATAAAGTGCAGTTTATTTTGGTGGCACTCCAAATTCACCTGAATATCTCCCATCTTATCATTATAAGTGAACAAATTCCATGAGACAGTCAACAATGAGGCAATTAGTACAGTGCATATATCAGAGAATAATGCTTGGCTTTGAGGGTTAATAAAATAATTTGCATCCGTTTCTGGACAAACAAGCAGGCAAATTACATTTACAAAACTATGCTGTCAGATGAAAGGTGCTTATATAAAATTGCAAAGCAGCTCACGCAAAGCAATTCTAAACACAGAAAGCCCAAGAACATCGCATCGATAAGAGAGTGGGCACATCCTCATGAGCAGTAATTCCTGCTTACCGCCATCCAGAACTCTCTCTCAATCGGCCAACTGCGGTCTTCCTTTTATGGCACAACAGAAATGTAAGCCTAGCTACTGACTCACTACACTGGACTGATAAACAGGAAGTCTTTTGCAACTGAACATAACAAGGGAAAGGAGCGAAACTACAAAGAAAAAGAAACAAAAAAGGGGAAGTGAAAGAAAGGGCTAGCTACGTTACAAACGCAACAAGCTTCCCCGTTGGTTTCCTCAGCTTCCTCAAACTGACCTGTGAGTCACTCATGTCGGCTGTGGCGGCCGCACGTTCTCCGTTAGTGGCTGCAGAATGCTGGGTCCTGACCCAGGAGAAAAGAAAAAGTTTTTTACCAAATTGTTCAGTTTTTCAGCTTTTTTTTTTTTTTTTTTTTAAGGATGCAGCTGCTCTCAGTAAGTGCGCTCCATCAGTGCGTGGACGGGGTGTCTGTGCGAGCCTAGCCACACAGGTGCATGGTGAGCATGCAAAGCGAGACTCTGTCAGTAGTAATAACGCCTTAATAAGTCTACACAAAACAGCCCAACACACAGGAAGAGGACATGCATTTGACTAGCAAATGTGATCTTTGGGTGTGTGGGAGGCATTTCGAATAAAAGTAGACCATAATTTCTTTTTTGTGAATCATTAGCTAGCACTTCATCGCAGTGCGCCAGAGAAAATCCACAAACAAATACTAATGTATGGAAATTGTATGTGGACAATAAAAAGAGTGCAGGGTGCAGTATCTCACCTTCCCGTATTGGAATCACCACAATCAGGCTGGCCCGTGGAGACAGATACCATCTCAGAGGTCACAAAAGAGGAAAGTTCAATAGATGAAATTACATTTTTGACTGAGGTCACCTGTGCATGGAATGTCTCGGAGCTCAAAGACGGGTCATCTGAAATGAGAGTGGTAGAAGTGTGTGTGGATATACAATAAAATAACGTCACCTTGTCATAAAAGGAACATGAAAACTTTGATTTTGTGTAATGAAAATCATTTAATTCAATTCGAATGACAAATTTCACTAATATATGTTACTAAAATGGGAGAGCATAAAGCAGAGAAGGACAGTGAGAGGAAGAGCTCTTACCAACACACTGACTGTGGGTGTGAGGCAGAGGAGCAGCCTGTCCGTGGGCGTCCTCGGGCCCAGTGCACTCTGGGAGTCTGTCTTCCTCCTTGCAGCAGCCAGGAAAAGATTGAGAAGGCCAAAGAAAGAAAATGAATCTTTACTCTGCCAGAGAGAATGACTCCCCAAAGACGACATTGTCTTTGGATGCTTTTAAATGATAGGCCAAAATCCACACTTTAGACATTTGCAATGCAAATTGTGACAAGCTTATTCAGGTGTGATGTGCAACACTGTCAAGTGTCATCCAATTTCCCGCTAGCATTTAGGAAGCAGCATTCCATAGTAAAACTCCATCCCCTGACAGCAGTCAATCACATGGTTGACCATGCCAAACACTAATTGTCCATGACATCAAAAAGAACAATGCAGCTTGGCATGCATAACACATCACAAGGTCACTAAAAAATGTGTTTTTGAATTTCATGGTCAGGCACTCTGAAAAAAGCTTTCTTTAAACCAAATGTATGAAACGGTTTGAACTTGGAAATATAAATGTGCATAAAATGGTTGATCTTGCATCACTGCGTCATAAGATATGATCATAAGAATGATAACATTTACACAATTATCCTTTAATTTTCTGGTAGTTTGTAGAGGGATTATGGGAAATGAAGATGAGAAAACACAAATCTACCTTTAGAGACGTGCAAGGCCTCTGTATTCCTCCCACACCCTTTAATGGAGTTTCTGAAAGAGAGAGAGAAAATGGCAAGTAGTTATGATCAGACAATTGGGTTTATGAAATGATCAGTCTCTGATGGTTAGTCGGCAGTCATGCGGCGAAGGATGTGGGAAGGAGGTCACATAGTTTATACTACTGACCAAAGATGGCAAAACAAGTGAAGAAAAGCCAAAAAAGGTCAGACCCTGCTTTTCCAGCTTGGGTTTAAGATTCAGGGATGGCTGGCTGCCCTGTGTGACTAGGGATTAAGGAAGGATTATATAGCAAATCTGACAGAGGCCTGTTGTCCTCTAGATGTGACCATTTCCACTAGACAACTATGAAGTCTCACACTACTATAAGACTAATCAAGATCACATATTAACATCCAAAACTAGTCTTTAGAGAGGAAAACCCTATTATTTAAGTCTGTTTTTCCATTGATTTTACCATTAATAAAACCTTCTTTATCTTGCAATTTCAGACTGTAACTTTGAAACTTCTTCCCTTGAAACCCTTACTAATTAATACATTTCTCACCTTGCGATTCGCCGTCAGTGCTGTCGTCTGGTAGAATCGTCTGAGAAGTTGTGAAGTCTCTTTGTAGCTCTTCGGTTTCTACTCCAGAATCCTGTGTTACTTCACCTTCTTTCTCAGGCCTCACCGTGATGTTCTCCTTGTCCCTAACAGACTCTGTGTGCTCCTCCTCTTCTTCCTCCCGCTTAAGGGCCTCTTTATCACAACAGAGTATTTCCTGGTCAGGTCCGAGTTCTTGTAAAGGTGACTCAGACAACACATATTCCTCATCCCATTCAAGAGAGGGGCCATCCAGCTCTTCCACAACCTGAAGACACACAATAACACCAGCCGAATATCATCATGTGGTGATAAAAGCTGTACACAAGAACTATAATAAAACTTAGTGTGCTTCCCCAGCCGAGCTTTTGAAAAAATATGCATTGTAATAAATACAAACAAAATGGATAGGATAAAAAAAGTAGATCAACTCAAGATATGTAGAAAGAAAGTTCTAAACATACTGTAAGAACATTGTGTGGTAGTCGGTAAACGGCGTTTAATCTCTTGAGATGGGTTCAAGAAGTCAAGATTCAAACTGGCTCACAAACCACACTTGCCGCCTACACACAAAGCTACAGGCATCTTGTAATGAGACTGTAGAAGTACCCATCTGTGATCTCAAAAAAAAAAAATCTTTTTTTCCCCAAGGCTGAATCTAAATCTGTCATGAGTTTTAAAGTTCACATATGCTGAAACATGTGCAGGCACCAGGCAGTGAAAGCAATTGTTTGGTGAGCCTCAATACCTGCTGTAGGTGATCCGGTGTTTGGCTGCTGGCCTCTCTGCTGTCCAGTGGAGCCTTTAATCGGTCAAGTTCCTCTCGCAACTGCTGCTTCTGGTTCTCTTGTTCTTGTACCCTAAAAGGGCAGAATTCACAAAAATCCAAAGATTGTCTTTCCCCAACTCAACACATAAAAATACAACTTATTCACTAAAGAATAATGTAAATGTAAATGTACAAAAACACAATTATTCTGGTTATTGAAAAGCACTGCACATGAGACAAAGTTAGTAAAAAGATATAAAGGAATCACATCCTGTCCTATGCCTAAAGATTCTCCTATTACAAAGACCAAACCAGATTTCATAGCAGCCTGAAAACATTCTAATAAGCGCCATCTCCACAAATGCTCAGTACAAGTCTGAATTGTTCACAAGTCCTACAAAAGCGAAAGTCAGACATACTATACCCAATCCGCAGGCCCAAGCAGTGTCCCATTGCTCCTTTACCCCAATCTTAGAGCACCACGAGACTGTACAACTCCTTAACTTCCCTGGCTTATCACACCAGCTTTTCCCTTTTATTCAAAGTACGCTGAGTGCCATAGCCTTGAAAACCATGTTATGTCAGATAAGAGACACCAATGAACCAAAAACAGCTTGAGGGGAATCAACCGGAACAGCCCCTTGACAAATGCTTTTAGAGACATTCACACAGACATGGACTAAAATGGTAAAGCCTTGCTCCATAATCCTTCCACTGCCTAGAATGGGGTGATGGTCAAATCTGAATATATACTAAATATATATATATTTTAAGTGCACTTATATATGCATAAGTGCAAAAAACCTGCACAATGTAGCAATATTTTGTGTGCAAAGTTCATTGTCAATAGGTAATAGTGTATGTAGCACATTTCACACAGAAGTCACTTTTAAACCAAGAATCTTTCTGTTTCAAGATTCCAGATCACAAAGATTTAGATTTCCAAGATTTCGAACGGTAAATACAGAGACAAACCAAACTATGATTATGATTTCGACAAACTGTTATCAAATGATAGCTAATAAAAACATCTCTGCTGCCCACTCACTTGACAGACAGATGCAGGATCTCAGTACGAGAACGTCGCATGTTGCTGGCCATCTTCAGAAGCTCCCTCTCTAGAGAGTCTGTGTACTGGTCCAACTGCTCCAGACTGTGGGTCCAGTCACTCGTCCTCTGGTCAAGCTGCACTTCCAGGCCCTGCAGCAGTTCACAAGATCAACAAAAAAAATACATTAGAGATTAAATATACAAAAGTCATTAATACCAGCTGAATCATCAGTTTCATCAAAGACCTTAAGGAGAGTCACAGTTACTCTGACCCGACACAGTGCCCCTGTGCATCGTGGGAATTGGAGTGAGAGAAACATTGGCCTATATAGTTGAACACCAGGGAAGACCGCACGTAATGACGCGGTCCGCTGAATACACACAATAAGAGTGATCATGTTCAGCCAGGCGGTTATGCAATAAAGGCTCAGATAAGGGAAAAGGAGAACTTGCATCATTTTCAAGAGCCAATGTGTATCTCTATATAATGGCACCATGATTAGTTATTTACATACTGTATGTGCATAACTTTTCATTTATACTGTCCGATTTGGGTGAAATCCGCTCACCTGTATCTTGAGGTCATTGTTGGCCTCTTGAGTTTCACTGTTCCCCGTAAGGCCTCTGAATGCTGTGAGAAAGGTCACGCCGACTTCCTTAAACTCCCTCTTCTGGAACGATTCATGTTTGATACACTGTGAACATTCTATATCATTATGGACCAAGATCATACAAAACTGAATTCAGGTGTCTGGTGATTGAGAGCTGGCAAAACTAACCTCAGAATAAATGTGCAGGTGAGGATTTGCTTTAAAACTGTGTGTGTATGTGCGAGATGGCTGGTTTATTTGGTTTAGTTTACCAGTCTCGTAGACAGTGTTTTGAACTCCAGAGACAGCTGCTCCGGAGTCGGGCCTTGGAGGAGCAGAAGAACCTCACGATCTAGAGTCTCATCCAGAGAAGATGCAAAACAAACAGAGGACGACAGATGCTCCAAACCCTACACAAATACACACACACTTAATGTAAGCAATGTGTAATACATTTGTCAATATATTCAATTTTTAATTATATTATATATTACATCATTTATATTTATTTATTGAATAAAATACAATGTATTTAATACCATAAATTTTCAAACATATAAAGAAAAATCTTTTTGTTTATTTTTTTAAGTTATTACCAATTACAATTATGGAATCCTCCACAGCCAAAAAGAAGATAATAGAATAAAAGAAACTTGTGAAATAAAGCACATGTAGACAGAATCATTGAAAAGCCCGAAGTTTAGTGTAAAGCAAAAGCAGGGTGTGGATTACTGAGTGCACACTGTGGCAGTGGAGTGGGAGAGAGTGGGTGGACAGAGAACAGCACATGAGTGGTGGTGGGAGTGGAGAGAAAGAAACACTTCAAATCATGGACGGGACAAAGACCGACAAGGGAATTGCAAACACACAAAAAAAACAATACAAACCTCCAGGGGATTCTGTGCCAGTGCTAACTCTGTCTGAAGAGAGCCTGAACTCATCTGATTGAGCCTGTAGGCCACAGAGAGAGAGAGACCCGGGCTGCGAACCGATACACACAGTTAGAGAAACACATGTTAAGGAACTGCTGAAGTTTGTTGTATTATGTATCCCGCTAATAAGCTCAACTAATCAGCTAATATTTTCATTGACATGGGTTATGTCCATTTCATAGAGCTCTTACATTGTCATATCAGGCTGCATCATCTGCATTTGACTCTCCAGTTTGTTTTTGTCTGCCCTCAGCAGCTGAAGCAAGCAAAAGAAATATAGACAATTCAATACAACACTCTGGAATAAATGATTTCACCGGTTATCATAAGCACACTTCCTTCTAGAAATATTTTTTTAGGTTTTCAGGTCCCTAAATTGCTTGAGTGTAGATTAGAACTACTTTCCTACAAAGTGAGTGAGTGAGTGATCACCTCTGTAACTGAGGAATACTCCACAATGGCCACCTTCAGTTCATCTATCTGCTTATTTTTCTGGAGGAGAAAGAGGGCAGTTCTGTTATAATAATGGATAAAAAAAACTGCAGGTTGCATAAACATACCAAATTAATAATGGTGACATTAAATGATTCTTAGTAATGACTAAAGCAAAGCCTCAATTCTTCTATAAAGTTATTCAAACGACTTTCATTTCAAACTGTTGTTTTTGCGTTACACAAGATGGACTGACCTCCTGAAGTATCGACTCCTTGTCAGCCAAAATACCATCAAATGAATGAACTTGGACCTGAGGGTGTAAGAAAGCATTTACCAATGACGGAGCTAAATAATAATTTTGACAAAAAAAAAAAAAAAAGACCAAGTAAGTAAAATAATAAAAAAGTGCCTACCTGAAGGTCAGCATTCAGGTCACAGAGGTCACTCATCTTTTTATGAATCTCCTCTGCCTCCAGTGTGACTTTCATGTTCTTAACGTGGGTTGACGAAGATATGTGAGGGAAGGAAGACAAATAAAATGGAATTATAGATGAATGAGGACTACTTAAATTAATGTGTAGATGTATAGGGCCATACTTCCTCTTGTAGATCAGCAATCTTGGATATGAGACTCTGGTTTTCCCGTTCCTGTGGGAAACCAGAACAAAGGGTTAGAAATGTGTTCATTCTAATATGTTTGTTCTAATAATATATATTGTCAATGTCAATATTACCAGTGTGATAGTGTTCATCTGGCAACCAGATTTGTTTACTTTGGATGATTTAATATCCTTGGGTTATGTAATATTACTAAATTAAAATCACTATCTGTTTGCATCAGTTTATGGAGCTGCTATCAAGGTGAGAGGGTCTTGTGCCTCACCATCTGTCTTCTTTGAGCTGAGGCCTGAGCTCGACTCTCTTCTGAAGAGGTCAGGCTGAGCTTCATCTCTTCAACTTCCTCTTTAAGCATCTTCTCCTTCTGTAATAACTGCTGCCCCCTGCAGGATCAAAGATAAGAGATGGGAGTGAAGAGGTGAGAACTGATGATGATGAAGGGATTTGAGCGTTCAGAGTTTAAGAGAAGCGAGACGGAGTCAGTACATTTTAGCTTGTGTTTTTAAGTCTTCATTTTCCTCGATGAGTTTCTGGTTGGTGTCTTCCATGTTTTCAACTGCCTGCTTCAGTTTACGAACCTCTTCCTGCAGTTTTTGGTTATTTAGTTGCAGATCTGCCACACAGAAGACTAGATCTGATGTCTCCCTGTACAATACAAACACAAAATAACTGAGGAAGGATATTAAAGGTAACATATATTCAATCAGCTTTATATTTAGATTTCTAACTTTTGTATAAATATGCTTTTAAGCGTAAGCCTTTAAAAGGATACTCCACTGTTTTTTTCATATTAAACTATGTTATTCCGTTAACTAAGACGAGTTGATCCATACCTCTCTCATCTCAGTGCGTGCACTCAATCGCTCACTTTTATCGCACTTAACTAGCCCAGTTCATTCAATATGGGCCAAGCAGAGAAGCGACCAAACACCTCCACGTTTTTCCTATTTAAATACAGTTACACGAGTAACTCGACCAAGAATGGTGACACAAAATAAAACGTTGCACTTTTCTAAGCATGTAAAGTGGATAACTAATGTATGGCGGAATACCACAGCAAGTGCTTGGGAGATAAGGGCGTTAGTTAAGTTAAGGGTGATCAAAGTGTCTAGCGCGCCAGAGCGATTGAGGAGACGAGAGAGGTACACATCAACTGGTCTTGGTTAAGGAAATAACAATTTAATATGAAAAAAAAATGGTGGAGATCAAAAGGTTTTTAAGATCATGAAAATAAAATCGATTCAAGTGTGCCCAAACTTTTGATTGATACAGTTGATATGGTCTCACAAACAACAAGAACACTACTGTTAACGCTTTGTCACAAACACACAACTTGCACGCCTAAACTTACAGGTCAGCTCTGGAGGCTTCCCCTCCAAATGCTTCTAGACTACCTGAGGTCATATTCAGTAGAGCAGATCTCCTTGCTAAAGGAAACAAGAGGTGATTGAAACAAACTCATAATAATAATAATAAAATGCAACATATGAACAACATGAGCATTCTGATATACTCTAATAAGATCTCACCTGATAAACTGTCCCGTAGTTTAAATGATTCCTGTTGGGTGTCATTCTTTGAGTCAGTCCTAAATGAAAAGGGGAAATTTGACTTGGATTTTTATCTCCAAAAAAACTGTCATGGGGAAAATTTAGCAAAGAAAGGCCTTTTGATCAAAACTGATTGTGGATTGATAGCGGACTGATGAAAATTTGCAATGTGTCTTTGGTGGGGGTGGCAAAATCTACAAAAGGCATACCGCTAAAGTTGTAGGCAAAAACAACTGCTTCCTTTTAACTTACCAAAACATTTAGCAAAATGAACAGGAGTTCAACAACCGCTATTTCTTGTTTTTTTTGTCACGTGGGATATTTTCCCAACCTTTTTTGCCTCTGCTCTACCAATAAGGCTCAAACATCCCTTTATGGACACAAAACCAGAAATGTGCAGTTATATCATTTAACACTACTATTAATATTATTAAAATGGCCATTATTACTCGTTGACTCGTTGTTCTAAACTTTAGTATAAGTTAGTCTTAAAGTATAGGCACGTCTTCATACCCCTGGTTGCGACAGTCATCAATCCACTCCTTCATGATGGCATGGTACGTGTCCAGGTCTATGGAGATGTCCTTGTGCTCTGGGTCCAGCATATTGCAGAGCTCCTCTAGGCCGCTGTCCTCTGAACTGCGGGAGGTGGTGTGTCTTAAGAAGTCCACAATGTGCGATACATAAACCTTACCTGCAAAAGAGGACTGTGTTACTATGGTTACAGTGGCAAGAGTCACAGAAGACCTGGGTCTCATCAGATGTCATCCCAGCAAGAAAGTTTGCAAATCAACACCTACTTGTTCTGAGTCACCATGACCGTGTCTCTGAACATATCACTATAAAAGTCTGCCGCTATCATTGCTTTTCGCATTAATTTACACAGCAAATAGCATTCATGAGAAGAAAGGCTGTAAATAAAAAACGCTTTTGTTCTCATTTAGCTTAGTGATCTGATCCCCACAAACAGCACATTAGGTCAAAGACATCATGAGGAGAGAGCAGGAATTCATAGAGGACAGATCAGAAGGCCTTGGATGGATCAAGCATGGATCTGAATGAGTCAATGTTCTTAGTGGTTACTGGTTAACGAAAAACAAAAAACAAAAAAAAACACTGGCTTTGTAATATTATTTCTTAGCAGGTTGTAAAGCTGACTAATATCTGAGAAACAGGAGGAAGCAGTTAAAGTTCACTAAACATCAAAACACGATTGTCCTCAGTGCACAATTCTGCTATTTATGTGGGCACATTCGTGAAATTTCATGTACAAAACAATTATTCATTGTCAATAGTATAGCGACTACACTTGAACCCGCTTTAAAATATCGCGCACAAATCTTTAGTCTTCATTCAAAATTCATGATCATGTGGATTCCTACTGAAATTATTAGATTTTGCCCGTAAAACTTCACAGAACAAAGGTAAATGTGGCTTATTGAAAACGCAAGAACTTGATTTTACTGAATTTACATTTCTGTTGAAATTACTTTAGGCCCCCTGTGGTGTTTTTAATATGCTTTAAGACAAACCATGTTCAAATATATAAAGTCAACACCATTGCTGAGTCAACAAGTGATCTCAGAGCTGATGTGAGATGGGGCTAATTTGCATATTCATAAAACTGCATATACTAAATGAGTTACATTCAAGCTATTTAAGGCATGAAGACATTTTTCAATTATTTTGGTGATCAAAGATGGGTTTTAAGGGATAAAAATTATTAACTACAGGTGGACTTTAAGCTGTGTTGTAACAATCAACAACATTCAATCAATTCCTGGCCTTAATTTTCTTGTTGTATATTTTGTTACCCAAATTACATACGTTATTACAAAATAAATAAAATAACAGATTTAAATACCTCTGCATTGTGTGTCACAGGCCTGAAAAATGGTGTCCAACAAGTCTTCCTCGCATATCAGACTGACCTCAGCCATGCTCTCCTTCTTGGGCTCAGAGGGAAACAGAGATCCTGTTCAAAACCAATGAAAAGACAAAAAACAGTTACCGCTATTAACAAAACATTTACGACATTAAAAAGAGAACTAAAAAAAGAGGATTCATTACCCTCGCCCAGTGAAAGTCTCTTGACCACAAGGGCAGGGTAGGTCAGTTCACTGTCCATGTTAGAAATATCTGAAGAGAAGTTCAGGTTATACGAGAACAAGCCGGAATTTGGGATCTTCGAAGTCTTCAGCTCTGTGTCGGGTCCCTCTAACTGGGTTTGTGTGGAGTAGCGTGGGGTAAAGTTGAAATAATTGTCCCCAGTCTGACCTGCTGGGGTGGAGCAGTTGCGCCGAAATGGCCGGCTGTACGTGGCTGTGGTTCTCCTCTCCCCAAGCGTGCCCAGCATGCTGGTGATGGTATAGGTGGCATTGGTAGGGGTGATGGAAGCATAAGGGGTGTTGGAGGATGACCCCGGTCTGGGGGAAGCTGTGGGGGTCACCATGTCCGCAGCGGAATCGCATTCAGTCTCTCCGTCCGATCGGACAGTACGTTTCTTCAGGATGGCCTCCAGGTTGAGGCGCAGCCCCGAGTGAGGGCTGTCGTAGCTGCTAGACTGAAACTTAGGAATTTGAAAGGGCGAGTTAACCTCTTGATCTCGCCGCTGGATGGTCTGAAGCTTGCGGCATATGCTGTCCACGGGGTTGTGCCGTCTCGGGGTCACTCCAACATCCATTTTGGAATGAGAAAGGAGAGAAAGCCTCAATCTACAGGAGCGACATGAGTTAATTAGTTCAAAGCTTAACAGAGTGAATAGTATTTGACAGGTCATGTGATCTCAAAATGGCTATATATAGTTTAATATGTCAATCACGTCCACACAAACATGTAGATAGATAGATAGATAGATAGAGATAGATAGATAGATAGATAGATAGATAGATAGATAGAACACAAAATACTGTTAATAAACTGATTTATTAATGTATCGTTAGAAAATACAATACAAATGTTTCATACATTTTAAACGGTCACTGCGTTATTTGTTTTGTTTTTATGAGTGACGTGAAAACTACGCTTAATGTGGTAAAAAAAACGGCCATATTATAAAAACTTAACACACTTAACTTGAAATATTGTCCAAGTATGATCTCGTGTTTAAAAATATAACCATCAAAAACAGACGAGTAAAAAAAGCAAACCAACCTGTCAGAATCCGTCTAATGGGGAATCCAACAACATGCAAAGTTTATATAACGTTTACAAACCGAGAAACGCAAACGTTTTTGTCACTTTTAAGGTGAAAATAAAGCCCGCCTTTAATTTCATGTGGTGTCTCTGTTATCTTTTGAGTACACTTATACGGGACAAACTAATATTAGAAGGCAACTGCTGGAAAAACAAACACACCTGAATCTGTTCAAACGTTGCCGCCGCGGTCGGTTCACAAATACGTGCGTCAGAAGCGTCACACAGCTGATTGAAGGCCGTATTAAAATCTGCGACGCACTGACACCTTGCGTCCAATAATGGAACTGCAACTGACAGACACTGAACAACAGAGCATTGATTCCTCATATTTTCACTTAGGCCAATTATTACAAATTTTTATCAAATAAAGGCGATTTAACGTATGCAATATACAGATATCAGGTAAAAAAAAAATGATATAACAAAATGAATGTGCCTTTATTAAAAATTCAGAATCCAATACACATAACGTATAAGATCTCCAGAAAAAATATGTTGTGACCACGTGCATATAGTAGATGTAATAAAATCAAACCTATGGAAACCTATTCATTGCAGTTCAGGTGTTATGCATTCTTAAGAGGTTTACAGACGGCGCACATTCATCATGGCGAGCGTTGCATCAGCCACGAGCGCACCATCATCTCATTCTTACAAGGTAAAGGAGCGCGCGTCATATTTATTCGCGTTTCAACCTTCACGTGTTTGATAAATATGTCTAAACCCTGTCAAGTTTTACATGCAACCAGCGCTGCGTATGAGTATGACTGGTGGTCATGCGTGTGCGTTAATCAAGAGATTAACAAAGTTTCTCTGTTTTTCACATTCTCATCGCATTATTCTGTATTTTATTGAAATAAATAACAACTCAGGAATATATTTTGCTATATAGAAAATATGTCATGTTATATAACGTAGCCCATGGCATGTAGCCTATTTTCTCTTATGCGTTCGTCAGATGCACGTTGCGGTTACGCGCATGATGCTGTAGTCTGATACGCACGTCACTGGACTAGTGGAATAACATGAGGAAGCAAAGTCCCCCGTTAGTATTTGTTTTTTTTATTTTTTTATTTATTATTATTTTTTATGTATAGACACGTAGGCCTACCTTATATCAGCAAGAAGCTATTAATATTTTTGTATTCATATATTATTTTGTGTTTTGTGCTAATAAATATTAGGCTATATTAAATTATTTTTTCTTTTTTAACCGTGGTTGATATAAAATCTTTCAAGCACTTTTATCAATTCAACTGTTCATTGGCTATTGTCTTTAAAGGTCACCTAAAGGTTGTGTTCTTTTCAGACCATTAAGCAACTGTAAACATTGCAAGTGAAGGACACATGGAGGTGCGCCTTTGATTCAGTCCATCTGATTGGTCACTAAAAACGGTTCACTCACTCAGATCATTTTTATTTTTCAAACCACTTTAAGTTCATTCATTTCATGACCGAACGTGATGTCTGAGTGGGTGAGTTCATCTGAGGTGTAAAATATACTTCATTATAGCTTAGGCTAAGGTAATATTTTGATGGAGATTTCACAAGGATTTATTTTAAAAAATAAATGTATTGCTTTTACTCCTTACAGTTTCATTTAGACCTCCAAGGTAATATTTAGCCAGGTCATCATGACTTTCTAACTTTATTATTATTACGCTTAAGCATTATTTTGGATCATTTAGGCTAATTAACTTTAGTAAGTTAAGTAATGAAATGGAATGCTTGTTCAATACATTTAAGAATTATACTTTTTAGGATACCTTGTTTAGACCTCCAAAGAACAAAGTCCATTTTTACAGCTCACCATGAACATTAAAATTAATCCAGTGATGCGCACAGCTTTTTTAAAGCAAATGACACTTTGTATTTCGACAAAACAACGCTTCATCCTTGTGAGGAAACGTCTGATTCACACAGTCTTATAAAGTTATAATTATGCCTGTTGCTGAAGACTGAGTTTGCAATTTTTCTATAAACAGCTATACTAAATATAAAGGTCTCGGTTTCAGTTTCAGGACAGAGGTCAGGACATTTTTGCGTCTTGACTTCTTTTTCCATATACTTTTTAGTTGTACTTAAGTATGTTTTTAGCTGGTATATGTAATTATCCATACTTATTTATAATTCATCAGTTGTTTTATATATATAGTAGTATGCATTCTCAATTATAAGACATGAAGATGCCTAGTTAATCTTAAGAATTATGTGATAAACTAGATATTTTGTAAGGGCATGGAAATGAAAGACCAACATTGATCATTCTGGTAACATTCATTCACTTTTTTAAGGCATTCCTTTACTTTTAAAGCAGGCCTACTTAAAGTGCCAGAGAATTTTAGAAAAGAATCATAATGGAAATTAAATAATCTGATTGCATATTCCAGCTTCAACTATGCTTATGCTTATTATATTTTAATACATGTTAAATGTTTGTTTCCTTTTAGGAGCTTGAGAATAATGTGGCAGACAATGCCTCTAGCTTTAAGGTATGGTATACACATATTTCAGAACAGCACTTGCCTTAAACATAGTGTCCAGTGGCTTCATTCTGATGTTTGATTGATACTCTACACAGTTAGAAACTCTCCTCCTCAGTCAAATCTTCATTCCTCAGATAAATCCACTTTTGTTCTGGTTTTATGGTTGTATCAGTGTCCAAATAGTGTCTCTAAAATATTCTCAACAAAGAGCATTTTGAGTCCAAATGTCCTGAGTTGAATTGTGGAAGACCTCTTTCGTATATGGCATTTTTGGCTTTCATGACTCCAAAATGTGACCTTGGACCCCTCTTTTTGGCAGTTAGCTTGCTCTTCCAAGAGGTCCCGTGCTGAGTAAAACAGAATCCAGTCTCTCAGATCACTGTAAGCCCTGTCAATCAAGCTTGGCTTGGCTTTGGACATGCCCTCTGTCTCTACCTTTCTCTGACTCAGGTGGTGATTAAGGTCTTTTCAACACATGCTAAATCACACCGTTGCCTTAAAGACAACATGGAATTGTCTGATATCTGCAATCATGCCTCAGGCTCACATAAGGAGTCCATTTATGGACGAGAGAATATCTCATAGTATATAGGAACAGTATAGTAACTTCGGGTCAGTTTTTTCTCAATGGGGAGTGAAGATTCCAGCCTTCAAAATGGAAACTATACAATTTCAAAATATGCTACATTTATGTGGACAGATTGAAATTTAAGTCAGTGAGTTGAACTTGAAAAAATCATTCAGTCCAGATCAGTTGATTTAATGAAAGTCCAAATCAGGCATTCATATTTTAAATAGGGCACACTTGAAATATACTGTATGATACTGACATATGTGCATCATTGTAATTGCTTGAGAAAGAGAAAGTACATTATGCCAAATGTCTCTTTTTGTGTGTTTAAGAGAAGAATTAATTTATTGAAGTGCTCGAAAAATTCATATTTCAATGCATTTTGTGTTCAACATTGCACTCACTTTGTCCATAAAAGCCAAAGAGTTTTTCGCAATCTCTTATTACTTCCATCACTAGTTCTGCGTTCACTTGGAAAAGTTTTGCAAGTGAACACAAAAGCATTGAAATATAATTCTCGTATTTTTTCCATCATCCTGTCCTCATTGGGGCTCCGTATGATGGATCGCACTGACATTTTTGGGTGGACTATTCCTTGAGATACAATTGAATCATTTCAAGAGCACATGTTGAATATCAGATGTCATTAAACAGAAATAAGTGTTTGTCTATTGATGAGGATAATCGCATTTAAGCCTCTTGAAGGGACTGAGGACTGTAGTGGATGAGGTCAAAAAGCACTGAAAGCGGTGAATTGATGATGGCCACCCTGCAGCTCTCACTACAGTGTAACTAAACAAAAGATAGAAGCAATGTGTCTTATCATTCTAAAAGTACTAATTCGTATAGACCTGAAAACACTGTCATAGATGTATAGCACTTCTGTTGACTATCATAAATCTGCCTCATGATTGCTCTCGAGTCGAGACTCAGCTGAGATTACAGACCGTTGTTCAATTGGATCTAGCATATTTATAGTCAGGTACTCACAAAGCACTCATAAACTGAGGTGTCAGACAGCACAGTCTTCATATTAGCACTGATTTACGAGTCAGCACCTTGAAAATTAAGCACCTCTGATATGCATTGCCTCAAAAGCTGATACACTGTAAAAAAAATAAATTTTCTTTTGTCAAATGAACTTAAATAATTTATTTAGTTGAGAAAACGTATTATTTTGAGTTTCTGATGAATAAATCAATCTCCTTCATTGTATTAACTCACTTTTTCCAGTTCAATCAACTTAAAATTTTAATGCAACCAGGTTACTTACTTTTTTTAAGTTAAACCAACAATATGTTTACAGTGTCCAAAAATGCAGGCCAATACAGCAACCCTAAAAAGTATTTGGACACTTTAGAAACACTTAAAAATGAAATGTCTTTGCATTACGTGCAAGTATAATATGCAGATGCCGAAAGATAGCTTAGATCTTGTGCTGTGCCTGTGCTCAGTTAAACAAACACAACAGCGTGGTGTACCTTTCCACCATAATCCTGGATTACAGTGGGCTGCTGAAGGGACATGTAATCTGTGAGAGTGTCTAATCTCAGGGTTTTGAGTGCATTTCTGTCAGGGAGAGAGATCCATAGAAATAGAAATAGAAATAGATAGAGGGATTGTTTTCACGGACTGACCCTATTCCGTGTCTGTACAAAGGTGTATTTATGTCATCTGATGCTGATTATTTTTGGCCGCATTCTGTTTAGGCCGCAGACACAGTGACACAGTTAGCAAAGACCCACAAGCCAAAACCTGACATAAATGGCCTGATGTTTGGGACTGTTTTCACTGATCACATGCTGACCATCGAGTGGAGCCTTGAGGACGGCTGGCAAAAGCCGCATATCCGGCCTTTTGGGAACCTGTCCATACATCCAAGCTGTTCTGCCTTGCATTACGCTATACAGGTGCGTCCTCGCCATCTGTGTGGTTATACATCAAATAAAATCATTTGACTTTTCAATTGCTATTATAGATTTATGTTAATATGTAAATGCAAACTGTGTGCAGCTTTTTGAGGGTATGAAGGCGTACCGGGGGCCAGATGACAAAGTGCGTCTCTTCAGACCCATGATGAACATGAAGCGGATGCAGAAGTCCGCCCACAGGGCCTGTCTGCCTGTAAGATCGACGCCTCTCCCCTCACATTTGAAAAGCCACACTAAACTGCAGTTCTGTTTCTCATTTTCTTTGTTTATCTGTAGAGTTTTGATGGTGCAGAGCTGTTGGAGTGCATCAGGAAGTTGGTGGAGGTGGATCAGGACTGGGTTCCTCACTCAGACTCTGCCAGTTTGTACATCCGTCCCACCTTCCTGGGCACAGAGGTTATAGCTACACAAATCCACCATTCTTGCAATAAACTCATTATTTTCAGATTTTCATTTCTTATATATTTATATACTAAGGTCTGAACATGCATTTATGATTTTTTCCATTTCCATAATTTTGCATAAGGTATACATCGATTATAGTTAATTAATATCTTATATAAATAATAATATTTAATTAACCAATATTACAATGCTGGACATGCTTTTTAATTATTATTTTTTAATTATATATATATATATATATATATTTTTTTTTAATTGCTCTCATGGTATAACACTTGTTTAAGTTTGCTCATACATTTATGTATTTATATGTATTTTTATTCTGTTGTTCTGACAATATTTTGCAATACAAAAATTATACATTTATTTAAATTATCAAGGTATGATTTATTTTTTAGACATGTTTATGTGTAAAACAAAATACTTAATAAAAACAAATAAAATACTAAAATATTTTAATGTAATATAATAATTTATTGAATATAATGATTTTATCATTTTAACTGGCAATAAAAGCTGCTCATTTTATTGTAATATTATACTGTAAAAAAATATAACAACTCCAAAATATGTTCATAGATATAAATGTATGCAGTGTTGGGGTAGTAACACATTACAAGTAACTTGAGTTACGTAATCAGATTACTTTTTTCAAGTAACTAAAATATCTGATTTACTTTTTCAAAAAAGTAACGTAAGTTACTTTGTTTTCCCATTATTGACTGAGACTTATCTTGTCCCTATTTTGAGAAAAATCAGCTCAATCAAAAAAAAAAAAAAAAAAAAAAACTGATTTACTTTTGTAACTAAGTATCACGATTAATTACTTTTAAGGGAGTAATGCAATATTCCCCAACACTGAATCCACGACAGCTATATTCAAAAATCTATACTTTTGCATCATGAACATATGAAGGCTTGCAACCAATATTCTCTTTACACATGTGTGTGTGAACAGCCCACCCTTGGTGTGAAGAAGCCCTCCAGTGCATTGCTGTTCGTCATCCTCAGTCCTGTGGGCTCTTACTTCAGCACAGGAGCTAAACCAGTGTCTCTGTGGGCCGACTCCAAATACATCCGAGCTTGGAGAGGAGGGACAGGAGACTGCAAGATGGGAGGGTAAGCAACTCAGCAAGAGAAATTTCACTGTCTTTGTGTGTGTGTCAACACGACTCATTCATTTATGAATGAGTGTTTTGTAGTAAAATACTGAGGAGCATTGTTGCACGGCTATTGGCACGTACTTACCCTTGATCCAAATCCTGCAAGCTTGGTTTAATTTTGAAAGCCTCATAGTAAACTTTCGGATTTGTGTGTTTTAAGTCTGTGATTGTTGGCTCACGTGGCTCAAAACTTCTCACATGAGAGCAGAACTACAGTAATTACAGTAGGATGATGCAACAGGACAATAGGGTTTTGCAAGGTGAAGGAAGATCTTTGATTGTGAAGAAGATGCAATGTGTGAAACCTGCATTTTTTTAGGAACTATGGAGCATCTATCTATGCCCAGTATGAGGCAGTGGATTACGGCTGTCAGCAGGTTCTGTGGCTGTATGGGGACAACCATCAGATCACTGAGGTCGGCACGATGAACCTTTTCCTCTACTGGATCAATGAGAAAGGAGGTGATGACAGTTTGAAATCAAACATTTGTGAAAAGTCTTTGATAGATTGTTTATGTATATTTGCTTTAACAGGCGATATAGAGTATGTGGAAGTCAAAGTGTATGGAGCTCAATGTAAATTTGCAGGACCTTCAAAAGGCTACAAATCAATAATGATGTATATTCTCATTTTCTGGCTGGCTGCAGATCACTAAAGACCTCTAGTGGTCAAAAGGAAAGCGACAGATCAAAACAACTTTGAAAATGTTTAGGATGGAAAACCTATAGATTTTTTTTTCTTTCCAGAGGAGGAGCTCGCAACACCACCCCTAGATGGCATAATTCTGCCAGGCATTACACGGCAAAGCATCCTAGAACTTGCTCGCAAATGGGTAAAAACTGTTAAAACCATTCTGTTGGATACAAAATCTTCAAAAATGTGTCTTCAAGGGCTGGGGTGGGGAATTAAATTAAAGGGACCACTTTGTACCTTATCTACCATTAAAATGTGCATATTAGTATTTATCTACCCTACTATGAACCTGCAATGGTGTAAAGTTGATGAGGCGCAAAAATAAGCTATAAAGTTGTCTCTTTAAGGGTACTGCAGTAGTGAAATGCTGTTGTACCGCTAAAGGTGTCACAGCCATAATTGGACAGTACATTTAATCAGCACACAGGAGAACAGGACGAACACAACCTACTTAACATAGACGGGAACAAACTGAGGGTTATTTATACACAGGTCAAAGGTAGTTCACTTTTAAGAAAAACTTTTGCTGATCATTTATTTACCCCCATGTCATCCAAGATATCCAGTGCAGTCGAAAAGAAATGAAGGTTTTTGATGAAAACATTCCAGCATTTTTCTCCATATAATGGACTTCAATGGGAACCAAACGGTTCAAGGTCCAAAAGACAGCTTCAGTGCAAACTGTTCAAAGGGCTTTAAACGATTCCAGACGATGAATAAGGGTCTTATCAAGCGAAACGGTCGCTCGTTTAAAAAACAGTTTAACAGTTTGAACAGTTTGCACTGAAACTCTCATTTGGACCTTGAACCGTTTGGTTCCCATTGAAGTCCATTATATGGAAAAAAATCCTGGAATGTTTTCATCAAAAACCTTCATTTCTTTTCAACTAAAGAAAGAAAGACATGGACATCTTGGATGACATGGGGTGAGTAAATTATCAGCAAAAGTTTTTTAAAAGTGAACTACTCCTTTAAGGGAAGGGAGAAAACAAGGAGCAAGTGGAATTAAAATGAGTAACCATAGAAACAAATGGGAAACATTTTTGTTTTGCATATGCTTGGTTCAAATTGTTTGTTTTTCATTTTCGTGAACAGGGTGAGTTTAAAGTGTCCGAGCGCTATTTGACCATGGCCGATCTTCAAAAGGCTTTGGTGGAAAACCGAGTGAGGGAGATGTTTGGTTCTGGAACAGCGTGTGTTGTTAGTCCAGTTGGCAGGATCTTATATCAGGGAAAGGTGAGTTTAGTTTGTTTTGGATGGTAAGAGCACCGCACGATAGGTTGTTATCAAAATATGTTGGGCGAATGAACAGATATCCATTTCTGGGTCAAAAACCTGGTATTAGATTTTCCACATGTTTTTCTTACACTAATCTCCTGCCCATTAGAATCTACATATTCCATGTGAGGGAAGCTTCCCTCCAATAGCCTCCAGACTGTTAAATGAGCTCACAGATATTCAGGTAAGACACCCCCTACACACACACACACACAAGTTCATACTAGTTGTTTTTTTTTATTTTTAAAATTGTGGTGGTCATCATGAACCTAAAAATTGTGCTGCTTCTCCCTCGTGTGGTGAAATGGAAGAATTGGGATATATTTGTTTTTTCAAGTTTTTATTTAAATGTATTCTCACAAACAACTCGTAACAAGAATAATACTTTTTTTTTTTTTTTACGTATCCCCATCTCATCCCACATGGGACAAATAGAAATGAGGTTTTGTGTGTTATTCATCGTTATAACATATTTGCATTGTTGCAGTATGGACGGACTCCCAGTGACTGGTCGTGTGTTGTATAAAGGAACCTCGCTGTTGTCAACGGACACAAGAACACATTTCTTTTTTTTTCTCTTATTGAAAGGAGTAAATGTAAATCAATATACAGTGAAACCAAGTTACATTTTCACTCCTAATTTGAACTATAATAACCTCCCTCATCCCCAAACTCTTCAACACATTTTAAAACATGCACATTATACAACAAAAGCTTTATTTGTGGATATATGGAATAATTACCTTCCACGTAGATGTATTTTTTGTTTTAAAAAAGTTAGCAATAATGTGTTACTCTTTATCAGACTACACCACTCAGATGCCGTTATGATCACATTTTTTCTATACAGTTTATTGTAATAATCAGTAATCAGCAAGTTTGTGACTAGCTGTTTCATTAATAATATAGCTGAGGTGTATGAGATATTTCCTTACTGTATGGTTATTGATGCTGTTGATAATAAATAATATGCCATTTCTGTCACATGGCACAAAGCTCTTGGATATTTATATTCATAGATATTTAAAGGAAGTGTTTTTGTGGTAGAACTTTATTTTTAAAGAAATTTCAATGTTTAATGTGTACCAAGAAATGTTTGTTGTAAGCTGATAATAGTAATTATTACAGCTATTGTGTTTAAAACTCTTCCATCCATGTGCACAAACTTAGAGTTGTAAAAAAAAAAAAAAAAAAAAAAAATGGAACCTTAAAATCCACGTTATATTTGTTTGTATGCTTGTATGTTCAAACAAAGTGATCCCTCATTTAATATGAAATATAAATAAGAGTTTAACAGTTACATAAAATAAATCAAATGATAGACATTTAGAGATGTGTAATAGATTATTGAGTATTTTGTGATGTGATACCAGGAATATAGATATATTGTGCTCAATATTTTAATCGAGATATACTTAAAAGTATAATTATGTATTTAAAGTATACTTGGCTTGTAGTTGTGTTAATTCTTTTGATCGAGTAGCCTATTAAATATAATTTTTTTACATACACTTTAAACAATGCTGGGTTGTTTCAACCCAAAATTGGGTAAAATATGGACTAACCCAAATAAAATGTCATTTAAAATTTTAACCCAACTTCAACTGTAAATTTTTTTAATTACATTTTTAAACCAACATTTGGGTTTGTCCATATTTGACCCACATTTAGGTTGAAATAACTCAGCATTTTTTAGAGTGTTTCATATATTTACACTCCAAAAAATGCTGGGTTGTTTTAACCCAAATTTGGGTTAAACATGTAATTTAAACATTTAACCCAATGGCTGAGTTTGTCCATATTTGACCCAGCATTTTTTAGAGTGTACATATAGGTTTGTCTTTTTTATTACATTGTTGGACAATATTGATTAGAATATTGATATAAAACAGAAATGTATGAAGGTAAAATGATGTCATAAGTATGTGCAGGGTAAGATTTGTGAAAGAGTAGCCCATAAGATCGCAAGTGTAAAATACATTTTTAATGTGCAAAAGCAAATTTGTGAAGGTAATTTGTGAATCTCCCAAGTGTAACGAAAAAAAATGTGCAGCTTTTAACTGTTATTCGTAATTCATGGATTTTTTTGAAGCTGTATAGCTTCATGCTAATGCAAAATAAATAAGATCTTTTTCCGTGCTTATTTTTTATTCAGACATAATTACTTTTTGTCAAGTTGAGTTCATGTTGATTTTAGTATTAGTTTTTCATTACAGTCAAAGCATTTTGTTATTGCTACATAGAATTGATCAGTCACAGAGAAGTAATCGGAATCAATTTTGACAGTGCAAGACAATATTTTAAAAATATATAACTAAAAACCATGAGCAGAGACATGATATTCTAAAACACTGCATCAGAATGGTATTATTACATAAAGAATGGGTATTAAAGTTTAACATCAGCTCGGTGGTGTAACAGATTATAAAATGTATAAAATTTAAATAACATTTACACCAGCTCGAAATTCAATATGAACGTCAGTCAGCCTGGTGCACAGCTTAAGCAATCATGATTTATTGATTTGTTTATTTATTTATTTAACATGTAGCCAATGTGTGCATTAAAAGTATGTTTGAGCCAAATAAAGATAAAGATGTGTTCTGGTGACTGCGTGTTTATTGAACCAATCAGATCAGAGTAAATCAAGTGCACTTACAAGTTTACTTCAAGTACACATTGATATTAGTAAACTTACTACATAAAGTGTACTTTAAATACATTACATCAACATTACTTAAGTATAAAATGAACTTTTTCGTAAGGCCAATCACACTTTTTTTTGCTACTCTGTCTTTTGAACACACTTTACACACATTCATCATTATTTAACATGCCTATAGTTACCTTAGACTTCAATAATGCCTCTCTTCCCCATATAAACACACAACATGAAATTAAAATAATATATCCTCTATAAGCAGCCTAATATAGGTTACACATCTTTCACATGCAGTACCATCTTTCTGCACAAGATGGCGTAATATAACAAAAGTTGTAAAGCCCTAAAGATTGTCTAAGTGGTTTTCATCCACACCTATTCATATTTATAGGCATGCATGCAGTGAGGTGCTAGTGGGCAGGTGTGTGTATATATATATATATATATATATATATATAGTCAAATTAATTAATTAATTAATTATATATGTAATATGTATATTATTTCATTATTTCAATTGCAAAACAAAAATATAATATTAAAGCTGCAAATTAAGACCAAAGTTTTGCTTGCCAATAAGATTGACTATAGACTACAGCCTTTAGCTTCCACTAACCTACAAGATGGCTCTGGTTTATGGTTACAAAAAAAAATAAAAAAATGTGAAGCTGGTTTCAGTGACCTTAATCATTCTCGAACTGTGAAATAATGCTCTTGCCTTTAGAAAAGGAGACAGAAATCAAAATGGACCCGAAGGAGACTTGATCCAGAGCGTGCTGCGGGATCAGATCACTTTTTTAAGCAGAAGCATATTGATTTATATGGAGCTGTAATTGCTACAATATGTTCTGGATGACTCCCCCATAATTGAGGCCTGGCAAAGCCGCACTCCTGGAAATGCCCAGTGCCAGGCAGCGGGTAAAGAGACACCCCACCCAATCCCCTGTGCCAGCAAGAGGGGAGAGCATCCCCAACCCTGCCCCATCTTCATTTACAGCAGAGGTTTCCCTGTTCACATGGTTCAGCGAGCATCTACTCATACGATAAAGGGCAAGAATTTGGCAGTGTGTGTAAAAGCTGAAACTTGCAGTCCATTGACAAGATTGTTCTTTCATTGCACCTTACAAGCTGGCATGGGTTTGTCATAATGACCTGTGCTTTCTTGTTGCACTATATAATGAACATAAAACCGTGTACTTGTAAAAGTTACAGTAGCCTACTTTTCATTGATAATCAAGTGGAGTTTTTTACAAAATTTAATAAAAATTGCACCAAATGTTATTAATATGCTAATAAATAATACAAATATTTTCTAAAAAGTAAAATGGGATGCGTATTAGCTGCATAATAGGGGCTCTATTTATTTATTCATTCATTTTGTTTACTTGGCTTTTTCCAATATGAACAGATCTGTGGTTTATTTTGCAATTAGTATCAGTGACGTGTTTCTCATTTTCTTTTTCTTTCCGTAGATTTATAGCGACACACACATCGACATTAAGCTTGGGTGTGGAAAAATCAAGTCAAATGTTTTACACAGATGACATTCCCAGGCGGGACCCACCATGACTTTGTTCTTTAATGTATGAAATAGTGGTAAGAAGTTTCCCATAAACCTTTGATTTCTCGACTTTCCAACATGGAAACCCAACATGAAAGTCAGTCTGAGGAGGATATTTAAACAGACTTAAAACTTGACACCACATAGCAACACTCAACGGCAAAACATAACATTTGACCGATGACAGTTTGATAACACATCATGAAGTAAGCAAGAGGAACAAAAGACACAAACTCTCTTTCTCTCTATCTCACCCACTCAGAGGATTACAGTATCCAGTTTATGAAATTCCAACAGGAAGCATTGTGAGTTATTATTAATGGTAGCTGACAGAATGATTGCAGTCCTTGTCTCGCATGCTAATTAAAGGACAGAGTTTCCACAAAAGTCAATGCATTATGGAAGTGGATCGTATAGTGTTACTTAATCAGAAAGGTCCTTTGTGTTGTGTGTATCAACACATTCTCATCCCAAGGCAGCATCTAACTGACAATTTTGACCATCCTTCAACATTAGAAACCCTTAACTGACGCGATCCTAGGGCGCCATCCAACTGACGCTTTACCTTTAGCGTCAGTTATATGACGCGGGTAGGTTTAGTTCTGGGCTGGGGTAGGGTTATAAGTCTAAAAGCAGCATTGCCATCACCCATTGGCAGTAGGATGATTGGATGAAGATTGGGCCGATTTGTCATACACATGAAGGGTGTTTCTGCCTATGCAAATTATGACATAGCCTATTCAATAAGTGTAGAGCTCATGTGCATATTCAAATTAATTTCAAAAGAAACTTGTAATACAAAAAAAGTTACTTTTCCTGTATACTTTTACTTTGTAAAGTTTTATTGTGGTAGGAATAAAGGAAAAAAATTAAGCCTATTTGGGTGTATTTTGGGCATATTCGATTAGTGTATAGCTCATTTGCATAATAAAATTCATTTTCAAAGAAACTTGTAATACAAAATTTGTTTTGCGAAGGGGCGTGCGATTTGTCCGCGAGTCGGAATTCGGTACAACACCTGCTGTTTTAATACCGAAAAGACTCGTGTTTTTCTTTTACACTACGCTGAACGGTCGGTTAAGTAAGCGAGTGCCATTGACGGACAGTGACCGGAAGTGTTCCAGCCTACCATAGACAAACCAGAAATTCCATTTCCGTTGTGGTGCAACTAGTCCATATCCACAGCAGTTTGAATGTTGACAGTTGGTCGGTGTGGTATTAGTCCCGCCCCTCCTCCGCTGTGATTGGACGGCTGGGTAAAAATTGACAGTGATGAGCGCTGCATTTTATCCAAAGTTGAAAATTTTTCAACTCCCAGCGACCAGTAAAAACGCCGGGCGCTCGGCGCTTCAGCGTGAAAAAAAAAAAAAACGCTCAACGCCTCGGTACGCTCATGGCGTTTAAAAAACGCGGCGCTCCCGTTGAATACAATTGAAAACATACGCCAGGCGCGTGGAAAAGCACTTTGGTGGACACACGGCCTTAGGATTAGACGCGATTCTAGGGTGTCATCTACTGACGCTAAAGGGTGCCTAAAGCGTCAGATATTGAAGAATGGTCAAAATGGGATGGGATCTTTCAGGAATGGGATCTTTCAGGAATAACCAATTTAATTAGCAATATGTGCTTTATTAATCCATTATTTATTCGTTTTTATTATTATGTAGCTATATCTATTAGTTCCTTTAAAAAGGTAAATCTGTAGCAACTGCGACTGAGAAAAATTCAACATAAAATATGTAAACATTTCAAACATTATGCCATTTATTGAACTATGCTTTACAGTTTAATAGTTCAACCCTGCTTCTTTTATAGGACAGTTCAACCCTGCTTCTGCTTGAGCCTAACTCTTACTGTGTGTTGCGAGTGCCCACTTCAACATGAATCAACATATTATTGCATCTAAACCATCTAAATGGTTCAGGGACAACATGAAATGTTGATTTGATATTGTTCCTGAATGAAGCAGCAGGGACCACCATCTCAACCTCTACTCAGCAGGCTAGGCAGGTTGAGCCAGACAGATAACACAGGCATTGTCTAGAGTCTGAAGAGGGGGGAGGGGGGTTTTTTCTGGTCAGTGGGTTCATACAGTCCAGCAGGCAGACGCTCCAAAGAAGAGCAAGTTGGCAGAGGTACAGTGAATTTAAGCGATGCCCAGTGTGGAGCAAGGAGAGAGAGAAGGTCATTCCACTGCCCAGACTTGCAGACACACAGCAAGGCATCAGCACAAAAACCACTGTATTACTTTACATGTAGCTGTCTCACAGCACTGGGGATGGGATTGGTGGGGGTAATTCATTCATTCTGTAAACACGATCTTGTGGTTTGAACTCATCTTACTTGTACTCTCCATTCACAGCTGTTGTGGAGAAGAACCACATTCAAAGGGTTTATCCTTAAGTACTTAGTGATTGCGTGACTTCGCTCAAATGATACATGGCTGTGCATATAAAGTAGGCCTACATTACTAAAAAAAAAAAAAAGATCTCTCCAACTAAAAAATGTTCAGTGATCTGAAATTTCTTGTTGGCTTAAACATGCACACATGCAATGTTTTGGTTGATGCTTGCAAATATAACATTCATCTTGGAATTATTTAGGCCTACCTGATACTGACACCTGGTGGAGTGAATGTAGCAGTGACCCATGCCATTGCAGAAATGTTCAATTCAAAGTCAGCCACAAAATATTTATTTGTTACCATAATATGCAATAGTATGTGATTTCAAAATAGCCACCTCCTCCTTAAGGTGACCCGCCCCATATAATATCAAATACCTTTTTAACTTTAAACAGATTATTCAATAGTGCAACACTATAATGTACCTTAAATTTAAATGAAATGCAATTAGCTGTATTTAAAAGTGAATTAGAATTGTATCGTTATGATATTACATGTACTGATAAGTATATATGGTAAACTAAAATAAACTTTAATATATACTATTAAAACTTGAATGTATTTAAATATTTTTGTTTATTAATTACACAATTGTAATAATGAAGTTGCAATTTTGTTCTTTTAACACATTTAACATAATATCAACTAGCACACTATAGCTACAGTTGAAAAAAAATAAGTTAGTTAAACTTATAATTATCAAAAGTAAGGATACTACGTAAATAAGGAACAATTTCAAACATGAAATGTTATTACAAAGTGACTTTTTAATAAAGTAGGCTAAGCGTGTTAGTCATGAGTAGACTTTTATTTTGTTGATATTATCTTATCTGCAAGTATAGTTTTTTTTTTTTTAAGAAAATACTTTTAAGATTTGAAGTATTAGAAGTGCACTTCTTTTCAGAAGGATGGGATTTGCACCCATGACCTTGCCAATGGCACCATGCTGTTTCAGGAACACCATGGTACTGCAATGTTACCATTGTCAGCTTAGCTGAGAAGTCCTCTAAGGGACTCGCCGTTCATTTGGCTTTGCTGAAGAGTAAATCTGTAAAGAGTTTTCCAATGTTCTTTTCATCCTGTACATACTAATTAGATTCATTGTCCACTGTTGCTCAGCAGATATAGGCCGTTTTTTTTTAACAGAATATTAGATGTTGACTCAGCATAATCACTTTTTATGTTAGTTAATTGGCATTAAACAAGTTTTCCATATTGGTACAGTTTAATTTCATGCCACATCCCATGGTTAAATCTACCTTGATTTCTTTTCTGCAGGCTGCAAGGGTCAGATCAACTCTCCATGTGCCATATTGTGGCAATGGTCTTTCAACAACATCGCTAACCACTGAACAAAACCTTGTCCTGCTGGCCGACCCATTGCCGACACCATCAGTGATCATTGTTCTTTGATGAAAACAGCAAGAGAAAAACATCACAGACATGTCTGCGCCAGTCTAACTCATTTGAACACTGACCACACACAGCAGGAGGTTATTGGGTGGTTTCAAAAAGCTTCCAGAATCAGTAAGACTGGCCATCTATTAACATGTCCTTCCACATTGACTACTGTGTCCCCTCTAACCACTTTTCTGCGAGCGTGTGAGAGAGACTGTACTATGTAAGCACTTCTATTGGCTCATCGTGTGAACTATGAGATGGTATTAGTGGAGAGAAATCTTCTCCCAAGTCTCAGTGAAAGCAATGTCTGTTCATTGAAGCAATGAGAGAGCTCATTCCTCTGAGGTCAGCCAGACCGTACTTCGACAAAACGTACCCAAGAAGCCAGGCTAAGCATCAATCATCTAGACAGGAATTATATCAAATAAATAGTCGACAACTCCTTTTCCACGGATAATGTTATTGCAGTGTTTTACACATGTATGCGCTGATGAGTGTGGATATTGTGTGGTTCAGTTTCGAAATCAAATCAGATCATTTTATTGTCACATCACAGCAGATTAAAGTATTTGGAGCAAAAATACTCCAAAAATAATACAGTAGTGACAGATATTAGAATACGCACAATGCGCAAGTAGACCGATAATCGGTTTGAACTGATATTTTTTTTGTTACTTTAGGCTATGTGGCATCGTTTGTGCATGCATTGCTGTTACAACATTACTTCGAAAAAAAAAACATAACTTTACATATATGTGATAACACTGTAAAAAATGTATATGATCACTAAGTTAGACAACATATGTTTTTGCATTGCTTAAACGCAACAAAATAAGTTGAGCAAATTTCACGTTTTTTATAACATTTTTAATCAGTTTTATGTAATTTAAGTTGAAATGACTGAAACATTCAAGTTAATTGTACTTAAAAATTTAGCAAATGCATAATCAATATTTAGCGAGTAAATATTCTCAATGGATTAATCTTTTATTCTAGTGTCCAGAAGCCAAAATAAATCGACATTTAATAAATCAATATACGTTTTGCTAAGATTGATAGAGAAGCGATTTTCAGTTTCAGAATTAAAAAAAGTATACAATACACTGTTAAATTGTGGTTTAAATAACTGTAAAAAAAATTAAGTAACCTGGTTGCCTTAAAATTTTAAGTTGATTGAAATGGAAAAAGGGAGCTAAAACAATGAAGGAGATTGATTTAATCATCAGAAACTCAAAATAATAAGTTATCTAAACTAAATAAATTATTTAAGTTGATTTGAAAAAAGAAAAAATGTTGTCACAAATCTTGAAAATATCAGTGCTGAGGCGCGCGAAAATAATCGTTTGTCAGGAGGAAACCGTCGGTAAAATTCGCGCGCTCTTTAGATTATTAGATTCAAATTGACAAAAAATACTGCCATTACCACTTTTAGATTGACATTTTAAAGCTAGGCTATAACAAGAACTTTTAGTTTTAAAAAGTACCGAAAATAATCTGACTACAGAAATTACTTTTAAAAAGTGGATCCACTTTAAATGTAGCCTATAGCATAATGCATTGCCCTATGTCTGAATATAGTGATGAAAAAGACATCGTCCAAATTACGCATGGGAGTGACTCTAAATTCAACTTCTGTCTCTTTCTAAAAAACACAGCACTTTCTGTAACTCTCCTCTTCGTTTTTTGTTCTGCAATGCAATCGTTTCTGATCTGTTAGTAAGTCCTAGAATGATCCAAATTCAAGCCTATTCTAAGAAACAGATGACGTTATTTGACAGGGTGCCCAACATCCTTAATGAGTAACTTAGCAAGAGGAGAAGGCAAATGCTGCCCCAGCTGTTTCCTGTTGAAAATGTCTCTGTAATGTAGATAAATGTGAGGGATTTTCTCTCCAAATCCGTCTCCCGTTCGCTAAATCTCACTTCTCCACAACGAGCCTGCGCAATGGAACAAAGTCGGAATATTGAGATGTGACATTGCCCGCATCTCATCCTCTTTCTCGCTTTTTAATGACTTCAAACAAGTTCATTTTTGCTGGGCTTTTGCTGGAGACCCAAGGGGATGTCTAGCGGTCATTTCTTCCAGGGGCATTGGTGTGATGCCTTTAAGGTAACTTAACCTATTTCCTTTGAAAGCAAAGAAGCAGCTTAGACTAACCATTATTGATTTCTCAGTGAAGCAATAGCCATTGATATAGACTGAGCTGGGGGATATTTTAAGACAATTTGCACTCAATTTTAAATTTGATAAATGACCAATCTGCATCTTTACGCAATGTGCATGACATTAGACACGCGCATGCAAAAGTATTTCACATTAAAGATCTGACAGCTGTATTATGGCAAACTTTTGAGACTTACGACAGATTGCGTGATGTGTGTGGTGAGTCATATCATGATGCACCAGGGAGTACATTTGCGCAGTGCCCAAGTCACCAACTTGTAGGCTATATCACGACCCTTAAAAGTTTATATTGCTGAGTTGACACGAATCAGGGCTTTGGCAGAAGGTTTTGCAGCATAGCTACTTGTGCGTTGTGTGTTTGCGCATTATATTCTCTTTATTATGTAAAGTGCTTCCTTTTTGGGTTTGGCGGCTTTGCAGCTTTCCAGTTCCAATCTTTTATCCAAACAACCCCAAAAATGCATGGTTTACAAACGCGCTCTTCCTTTACCGGACAACTGGGTTAAAGCAGCAGTATCCTGTTGGCACGGACGAGAACTAGGCACTTCAAAGCGCGCGTGGAGAAGTGGCTCGAAATAACGCGCTCTGTTTTAGCGAGATTGTGGGCAGACAGAGGTAGGACAATTGACTTGTAAAGCCACCACAGAAACGGGGTTTTGATTGGGAGACATTCAGTTAAAGCAAGAGCGCTAAAGTAGCTAGATGTATAGACAGGTGCATTGAACAGTTCAACTTTAGTTTGCATTGAATCGTTTATTTATTTATTTTGTGTGTGAGTGTGTGTGTCATTCTTCTAGTGATAAATGAGTTGAAGTTGTTTTTAGTATCCTCAATATCCAGGCACATACCTGGATACGGGCTATTTGATATGCAAAAGCAGTTTTAGAAAGATGAATGATAGGAACATCTGTGCAGATGGATTGATGTAGGCTATGTATGGGTTGATGTACAGTATGTATGGATAGATAGATAGATAGATAGATAGATAGATAGATAGATAGATAGATAGATAGATAGATAGATAGATAGAATACGAGGAAAGAATAAATCAGTAAATAAAATAAAAACAATAAATATATAAATAAAATACCAATAAAATGTACATTATCCTGAATTATGCTTCAGTGCATAGATCTGTGTATTTCTGGTTCCTCTCTCTCTCTCTCTCTCTCTCTCTCTCTCTCTCTCTCTGGGATGCAGTGTACCATGCGCTGTCTCTCGTGCACCCACACCCTCTCACTGGTGCTGTGCGTACTCGCCTTGACTCCCGCGACACTGGAGGCGGGGCCGGAGACGCTGTGCGGGGCGGAGCTTGTAGACACGCTGCAGTTTGTGTGTGGAGACAGGGGGTTTTATTTCAGTAAGTGCACATTTTATTTATTCATCAACTGCTCTTCTTTCTCTTCCTCTCCCTCCCTCTCTCTTTTCCTCTTTCTCCGTGCATGCACTAATGCGCCACTCATAAATAAGAAAAGCATCAGTTTTCAAGTCTTGCTGTCCAATTTCCCCCAATTTTTCCTCCTTTGGTTTTGCTGTTTTTGTCTGTTATGTTGGATAGAAAGTTAACAATAACCTAAATCTACACATGTCAATGCAATCTGCATGATTAACCAGTGCATGCTATTCTAAATATAAATGTTTATAAGCTTTCCTCAAATATATATTCACTACATAATTACATTGCTCCACCTCTTAAATGACTTAATCGCTTGACATCACCACATGCATTCTGGTATGTAACATGCATTTTTATAGGGGAAACAAATGAATTGTCAATTTTCACTCTGAAATGTCATTAGCCTATGAATGTAATGTGATTGCTGCTTCACTTTGTAAGGTGAGCAGTTGCAATGCCAAAAAGCAGCTGAAAGAAATGCTCTGATGCTTGAGTATTACATTTAAAGAAGATCAGCCAGCTGCTTTGTCCCAAAAATGAGGTTGTTGGAATTTGGCAGACATGAGTAGGCAGGGCAAATGAATGTAGTGCACATCTTATTACTACCCAAAGAAAACCATTTTGAATCCTAGACTTAAATCTCTCTTTTTTTCCCACAAACCATGAGAGTTGCTGACTCTTGAGTTGTCCCAATCAAAGGCAGAGAGAGTTCTAGAGACCTTGCTGTACTTTGTTCAAACACTTTATGGGCTTTATCTTGATCATGCCATTGATTAAAATTTAATCTGCATTATTTCTTAGCTAATTTCTTTAACAGGATAATCTATTTTGATTCCTACACTCTCAGAAAAAAGGTACGAAAGCTGTCACTGGGGCGGCACCTTTTCAAAAGGTACACTTTTGTACCTAAAGGGTGCATATTGGTACCTTCATGGTACATATTTGTACCTTTAGGTACAAAAGTGTACCTTTTTGAAAAGGTACCGCCCCAGTGACAGCTTTCGTACCTTTTTTTCTGACAGTGTAAGTGTGTTTAATGCTGGATTTTCACTCATAAATTTGGATTGTAATTTCTTAATGACTCATTCAAAACCCATTTTGATTTCTTTCCTTTGGTGCACAAAATAAGATATTTAGCAGTAAGTGTTGACTTCTCATCATCAAACAATTAGTTATTAACAGAAAATCTCATCATCAGCCTAAACAAGATATAATACTTGGGAGAACTTTTCTACGGCCATCATTTCAATGTTTATTCAAGGGTGAATCAACATCAATGTTCAATGTTGAATTACTGTGAATTTTTGTTTAGATTTTGCAATTCAACATTGATATCGCAACATTGATTTAGTGTTGATTATATTCATTTTGTTAACCTTTTTACAACATTTAGCATCAAACATTCTTTCAACATTGAAGGTCGGTCACATGCTGCTGGTGTTTTTTGCATCCCTATTAACAACATGAAATATGCAGAAAAACATGACGCAGTGACTTTCATTTTTGAGTGAACTTTTTAAAGCGGGGTTGCTTCAAAAAAAAAAAAAACTCAAACCAGATAACTATTTTGCAATGTCAACTCAGTAACTGGGTCAGAAAATGTTTCTAATTTTAGAATCTTCCTATTTTCTGAAAAAGCAATTGCCCTGTCTATGACATTTGATTTCAGCCGCCCAAATGAGACCAGTTACATCACATCACAAAGTTTTCCACATATATTGCTATCTGTTTGAATTACCCGATGAGATATTTACGATGTGCAAATGGCTCGAGAAAGTATGCGAGTCTCAGGCCACCGGTGATGACGTATAAAGTGATTATTTTGACAAGTGGACAGAACCCACTGATTCTAAGGAGACACATTTTATTCACTTAAAGTGAAGCAAGATTAAACTTCAAGTTAGAGTTGACATTTTAAGTTTCCAGTCAACAACATTTGAGCTTTTAGTGGTCACAAAGGAGCTGGCTGGATAACTCATGGCTGTCAATGGACATGTGTTTGTTTTGTCAGTAGAGAGCCCAAAATAAATATGTTTATGCTAATCTGAACTTTCCGTGAAGTTATTGCATCAGCGTGACAGATTCGGTGAAGAGCAAATAGACGATTTTACACGGATCATTTGACTTTGACTTATATGTCTGAAACTTAAAGGAATTTCTTGTGTGCCCCAACAACCCCAACTTTTTAACACTTATTATTCTGGATACATCATTAGTAATAGAATTAAAGTTACTTTTATACGACCCATTTCACCAGTTCCCTTGTCACTCCACTCACATTTCAATACTTCAGACTTTATTATCTTGATAGAAAGGTGAAATACAACTATTATTGAAACCAAATGTGGTCTTTTGAAGACATCGAAAACAGGAAGACACAGATGCAGGCGAAGAAGAAATTGACAGCGTAGTCAGTTTTTCCAACTGTTGACCTGACCCAGAAATCCTCGGTTGTCATTGAAATGCCTCGGCAGCAGTCTCATCCCAGATTGTCTTCGGTTCTAAGGGGTTATTGGAGAGGAGCGGGACTCCGGAATGAGTGAGGCAGTGCTAGAACACAACATCCTGCTTGCTTATTACAAAGGGCACTTCGTGGCCAGATGTGTTTGTGCTGACATAAAGCTGCCCTTTGGGAGGGCATGGTCATTCAGCTGTGTAGTCATCATTTGCAGCAAAGCACCTGTGGTGTCTGCCAACAGCCTGAGCGTGTACCTCGTGATGCATTCCCATTCCCGAGACTCAAACACACTGGGAACGTGGAAAGTTTTGGCTCAGTGTACGCCATAAAATCACAATTTGGCCAGAAGTGGGTGCAAGTCTCCTCTCACAAATTTGCAAGAATCTCCAATGATCTGGCAACTCTGGATGACAGGGAAATCTCTGCAGAAGATTGCCTTATTCAAGATCGGGATGTTCTCACATCCGAATTAATTATGGTCAGAGTAAAATACGCATTCTGGACTATTTCATTGGAAGCTTTTAATGAAAATGGAAGAAAATAAAAAGCGAATAATGCACATTAGGTGTTAACAGATGCTTTCATTTGTGTATTGTATTATTCTTACGTTGCCGTGGAGAATTATGGGAAATGTAGTTTGATTGCACAAGCCTGTGCTTAAAGTCGTAACTAAACCCCTGGTCAGAGCCTGACTCCACCCACTGGCAATATTTGAAAAATGCTGAAAAAGTGGGCAGACCCCAGCGGAGATAGAGGGGACGAAATAGATGCTAAAACACTCCATCCTGATCGTTTTCAATACTCACAATTCCAACTTCTGACTGGTTTTGACGAAACGAAACAAACTGGTTTTTATACTGCCAAGGGCGTAGCTTGTACCAAGAGCGTGGTGAGCTGAAACCTGCGTACGTCACAAAGTGCGGAACATCCAATAGGAAAATTCAACTGCAGTAGCAACCGTTCAACCTGAAGAGGGCAGCACTAAGACGTTTTTACACCATATATTGTAGAAATAAAACAATTTATACACAAATTTCAAAAAAGTTTCTCGAATAAAGATCCATTCTTACACATCATTAACTAAAAAAAGTTGGTTTAGGGTTTAGTTACTCTTTAATGAACCAGCTAAATGAGTAGCATTTCTGGACAGCTTGAATGCCTGTTCTGCTAACACTCACAATTAAAACATATTACGATCAATATGGCCATAATTATTCAATTGACACTTAACTTAGAAAGTTTGGCCAATCACAACTGATGGTGTTAATCAGTGCCATGATATCACAAGTAACGTTATATGATTTGACTGATTTGTATTTTACATAGGAAGGGCGAAAGCACACCTCTTAAAGGGATACTCCACGTTTTTTGGAAATAGACTCATTTTACCACTCATCCAGTTTTACCGTTTTCGAATCCATTCAGCCGATTTTCTGATATTTAGAAGAATATCAGTCACCAGACCATATCTGGTCTCATTGACATTGATAGTAGGAAAAAAATATACTATGGAAGTCAATGAGACCACTGTCTGGTATTCTCTAAATATCAAAAAAAAAAATCGTCTGAATACATTCGAAAATGGTAAAACCCAACTGTTTAACTCTGGGGAAGTGGTAAAATGAGCCTATTTCCAAAAAAACTGGAGTATCCCTTTAAAAGAAAAGAAACAGAATGTCAATCAAGAATCAATCAATCAATGATGAAAGATTGCAGATGACCTCCACTCAGTAGCAAAGTTGGACGTTCTGTCACGCACGTCAGTGATAGGACTACTTTTCAGTTTTGTCTGGTTTCATTATATCTGAAGCAGCTGGAGAGAGGAACACATCAACAGCACACAGTCAGGCTTGGCTCTTGTCCTAGAGCAGCACCGGATTATATGGGATTACAGGATGATCTGGATGACCCCTGCCCCCTCCTGCCCCGTTGTTCTACTGAACATAAAGATGTTGCAGAGGGCACTGTGTATTCTAGGGCCAGCACTTTTTGGGTGAGAAGAAGTTGTTGTTTTTTAACCACAAAGCCTGATATTCAAGCTTTGGCTGTGTCTGATTTACAAGAGACACAAACAAATGACTTCTCACCAAAGCTAAGCGCCCATCAAGACTATGTATACTGTACATGGGAATTGGATTTCAGAGCCAAGAGGATTTTTAAATCAGAAAACAATTGCTTATCAATCTCTCAGTATGCTATATTATAACCAAACATTGGATTCAATCTTTTTTGTCAACTAGTTTTCTTTTAATTTGGTTAGGTTTTGTATTTTTGGAACTGATTGATCGTAGGCTTCATTGATCTGAGCTTATGCACCCCAGTTTTTGTGTAAAAAGGTGATAATTTTGTCAATATAGATAAAATATGAACAAAAAAATGCACTGGTTGTCACTCTACTCCTGCGCAAAGGTCTAAAAAAACATTGGTACCAGTCAATCGTAGAAGAATCGTAGAACTCATGAAGAACTAAACCATTAATTAATGATTACTGCATCAGCAACTAATAAAGAATCTATATGATTAATAGATTAAGTATTACATGAATTGCTATTAATTCAATGTGTCATTGTCTATTAATTCCTTAATAACAAATTTTATGAACTAATAGTGTAAATTAATGTGTTAATTACCACAATTAGTCAAAGCTATGCACTTCAACTTCCAGTTGTCTGCTTTAATTAATCATTAACTAATGATTTGCAAAGGTATCATTATGTTATGACTTTACTTGTTGGGGCACATCATTATTAACTAGTCATTTAGTAATTGTAGTAATTTGCACATGATTTTGCACTAACAATGAAGTAATTAATCATGTATTAATGCATATTAGTGTACCTGTTATATTATCTGGAAGTTGAAATACAAGGCTTTGGCTCATTCTGGTAATTAGCATATTAGTTTAAAAATGAGTTATTATGGAATTAATCCACAATTGCATATTTAATTAATAACAATTCATGTATGAACTAATACATTAACCTTACAGACTCTTAATTAGTTCCTAAAGTGATAATCATTAATCAATAGTTTAGATAATCATTAGTTACACATTATTCAGTGTTATCTGTGCATTAGTTAACCATGAATTAATGCTTATTAGTGCACCCCTATTGTAAAGTGTTACCGTTTTATCTCTAAAAACTGTTTATTGTACTAGCGTATAATGCTAGTACTGGGGGCATTTACTAAGTAAAAAGAAATCGCTAGACTATAAGTACCGATGTTTTATTAGACCAAAGGTTCATTTTGCGCCTGAGTTTGTATTGAAATGATTTTATCTTGTACAAAATGGCACAAATTCACACTTTTGACGTTCCCAGTGAAAAACCAGCCTATAAAAAATACTTATCAATCTTTCATTACTCAATCACCAAACATTGGATTCAACCTTGTTGTGAACTTGTTTTCTTTCAATTACAAACAGGTTTTATACTTATTTTTTGAAACTGATGACATTGTAGCTTGAATTGGTCAAAAATGATGGGGAAAATCAAAAATAGGAGAAACATCTAGTGTTCAGGAGCATGCTCATCATTGCACTAGTATGTGTACTTGCAAAGATAAAGTCCCTGTGCATGCATGCACAGATGTGTTCGTGTACACAAACAAACTATTTTGAGTATTATATGCTTTCTTTTTCACAGAGATCGTAAGATCATTGACTTTGATCAATTCAACTTAATCCTCAGAACAATGATCAGATCAATAAAGCCTGTGATCAATCAGTTTAAACCTGTCCTAATTGAAAGAAAACAAGTTGACAAAGATTGAATGTGAAATTTGGTGATAATATAGCATAGCGAAAGGTTTATAAGCAATTTTTCTGTAGGCCAGTCATTTTTGACTAGGAACACCACAAGTAAATATCTGTGTCTACCATTTAAATAGACAACAACAACAACAATAATAGGCCTATATCAGCACAATACCCTGGTTAGAACATTTAACAGCCTTTCGACATAAACAGTAAAACGTTACTTGGCAGTTGACAACCTTTAAACACCGCAAACAGTTCATATTCAATCAAGAGCTTACATCTCTATGTATAGTAAACAGTGGCAAAAAGAGCCAGGAGGGGAAAAAATTGGAAGGAAACTACATCTTGCAATAAACTCTTTGTGATGCCATTGATAAAGAGGTAGTTTCCAGGACTATAGCAGCTTTCATAGTCCCCAGTGAATAGTAAACTTCCTGACACTATGCAGCAGCTTATGGCAGCAACTCCAAGAACTCCCTGTTCTTCAATAACCAAAGAAGCTGGCTGTGAAAGTCAGCTTCTTTCCAGCGGTGTTCCTCATTGGAATGCACACATTCTGATGCGCCTGTTTAGTTGGAAGCAAAGGTGTCAACCCAAAAGTGTGGGAACACAAAACGGTTGTGCTTTTGCAACACTGAAACTGTGATGGAGATATGCTTTGCAAAGTGCTCTCAGCTCTCTCACGATGTTGTCAATGGCTTGATGGTTTTACCGGGGGAGGGGATGAAAGAGCCGATTGATAATCTATCCAACAATGCAGCAATCTTCAATAAATGCATGACCTAATCTATGGACAGTTTATGTGGAAAATGAAAAACATACAAGACTCTTATCTGCTTGTCATGCTGATAAAAAGAACAAAACATGAAAACAGGTTTGCAGACCAGTGCTGGATCATGGCTGATCTAACAATAATACCATATTTGAGGATTACAACTTTGACCTCTTAAAATTCAGCATTTCAAATCTCTGAAAACCTATTTAAACCGATTACACTGCATTATAAGAGCTGCTTTTGTTTATTGCACCTGTTAGACCGCTACACAATGGATTTCATGAAGGGCCTATGAGCTATTTTGAAGAAAACAGCAGATGTTAATTTTTTTTTTTTAGAAAAGGATAAAAAAAAAATGCATCCAGAAAACAATTTTACCGGCATGTGAAAACCTGATGTTTACAGCAAGATAATTATTTTTGTGTGTGTGTGTTGTTTTTTAAATGGCGCATAGCTTACAAATCGAAATGAACCCTTGATCCTATGAAAATTGAATATTTAGTTCAAGATTTCAACGAGAACAAACGTTGAGAGACTCTTACATTTTGTAACTGTACAAGTAAAAAGCCTAGTGTTCAAACATAATCATTACAGGCACAAAACACTGACAAAATAAGGGTAAATAATAACATTTTTTTGGATTATATAAATTTAAATCGAATTAAAAATCTAAAAAAGTGGCCATCAAGTGTCCAATTGAGACAATTCTAGCAGTAACAGTGTCCAACATAAAACTTAATTGTATTTGAATATAACAGCGCCCCCTATTCTCCCCAATATGTTCGGCGGCACCCAAGAGTCACGCAGTCTGCAGGGATGCATGTTTGTCAGAATTCGAGCACCTCTCTTTCCAAAACAACACTGTCAGCAAGTGAAGCAAGTGCAAAGCAGAAGTTAATGCATTTTGTCAGCACTGGCAGCCCTGCAAGCCAAAAGCTATTAACTCTGAAAGGGAAAGGCATTTCCTTCTTGTAAATGCCATATTAAATTATTATTATTATTTCATTTGGTAACTGGGAAAAGCCTATCGGAGCTATATTGCCCTATGCAAGTGGTGACTTGTAAATGGAGAGTGGGATATTTTTTTTTAAAGCCACCGTGATTTGGCGACAAAGAAACGCTAACTTAGTCAGGTGTCTGAGTGCTAACTTTAAGAACGTTGTTTGGGATCAGGCAACCCAAATCCCGAATTCTACACGTTAAGTAGCCCAACCCTCATCGTTAAACATAATGTCCAGGCCATTTTATAATAGGGCATTGACCTCATTTGCAGCACACAAAATTGTATACCCATGAGTTTCATTTTTCATGTTCTTTCACGTGGATAATTATCACCTACAGTAGTTCAGCAGCGACATTAACAAGCACACTGGGGGAAGTTCATCCTAGCCTACCAGGAACATTGGTGCTGAGCAGGGAATTTCTCTCCTTAGGTTGATTTGACCGATCCTGGCCTCCCAAACCAGTGAGCTAGTTTAAGATATCAGGTTTTAAACAGCAAAACGTGAGATTATAAACATTTGTGTCAGAGTGACCTCCATTTAACTAGGAGGCTTGCCAAGAAGGGTCCACTGCAAAGTGATACCCTGTAAATTTCACACTGAAGAAATTCATGTCATTAACGCGTCCATATATCTGGCTGCATCACTAAGATATTATAGCTCTCATGACCGGGCTCTTAGCGGTTACAACCGAAAGTTTTTGAGATTTAGCGTTTCGGAGCATGACCTTGCATTGTTCCTCATGAGTTGGTGCCACGCCAATCTTAAAATGGATAAAGGGCTTGAACTTGATGTGATGACAGACTTTTATTTAACGTACCTTAAACTCGCCATTAAGTGCAGATCCTCCCTCATAGCGAAGATTTACACGAAGGCTTTCGCTTTTCGTATGTGTATCAGATGTTCTCGCCATACAGAAGACTATTTCTTAATGTTATTCCTATGCACCCAACAGACAAACCAGCAGGATATGGGTCTAATTCGAGACGGTCGAACAACTACGGCATTGTGGACGAATGCTGCTTTCAGAGCTGCGAACTGCGGCGCCTTGAGATGTACTGTGCACCTGTGAAAACCGGCAAAACTCCACGATCCCTACGAGCGCAACGGCACACGGACATCACCAGGACAGCAAAGGTGTGCAGCCATATACTTGTGATGTCTCCTTGGTTATTGTCATTTGTACCATTATTCAAAAGAGCATTTGACACAATCATACATTTCTGTAAAACCTTGGGACAGATCAGATGTATACAATATATAATGCTGATGCAACATTAGTTGACTAATTTGGTTGATATTAGTTCATACTGATTGTGTTACCTTGCAGAAACCTATATCTGGACATAGGCACTCTTCCTGTAAGGTAAGTCTTCCCTCAGTCTGAGAGCGAGCCGTAATTTACAGTGCTATACGTATGTGCATGAGGGTGCTTGAGTTATAACAACATTCAAGTTTAGTGCATTTTTATTAATCTCTCACTCTAATGCTGTTCCAAGCGTGTATGACTTTCCGATTTTTGCGGTAAACACACAAAAGATCTTTCGCAGTGTATTTGTCTTGCTTTCCAGTACAAATATCTAAACATTCTTAAAATCAAGGTATATTTACTTTAAAAGCAAAACAACATTTCAAGAAAAATTGAAAAACTGAGTTTTTTCTTAAAAAATATCTGTCAATACACTGTAAAAATATTTTCAAGATTCGTTATCACAACATAGTTTCGTTTGTCAAATCAACTTTATAATGATTTATTTAGCTGAGATAACTTATTATTTTGAGTTTCTGATGGTTAAATTAATCTACTTCATTGTATTAACTCACTTTTTCCAGTTCAATCAACTTAAAATTTTAAGGCAACCAGGTTACTTACTTTTTTAAGTTAAACCTTCCATATTTTTTTGTAAGAACGTACTTACAGTGTACTTACCTAGAAAGTACTGGCTAATTTAAGGTAAGTACATGGAACAGGGATAGGTTTAGGGGTAGTACTAGTTATTACCCAGTAATTCTAGTTACTAAAATGGGTCACTGGACTGTAAAAGGAAGCGTTACCATAATAATAATAGTTTTCACCCAGATTTAGTTGGTATTTAACCAGATATTTGGCAGTTATTTTGTTTTAAGTATAAATTCACTTACATTAAATATATATTGATTTAAGAATGTCTACTGATTTTTTTCCCCAGTGCAAAAGACACATTTTTGAGCTCTAAAATTACTCACAGACAGACAGACATACACATTTGAGGTAGCATAAAGTGGAACTCATTTATACTTTCTTCTAAAGCCATTATTTAAGCTATTCTTTGCTGAAAATGTAAATGAAATAGCAATGTCCAAACAAATTATTTAGACTCACATCTTGAATTAACTCCATTGATCCAGTTAACAACATCAGTCTGAATGATTCTTTCTGCAAGACTGGTCCAGTCCTCAAGTTCAACTCATTAACTCAATGATCCAGTTGAAGATATCCAGCTGTTACCAGCTCATGGCAGGAAAGATCAGTGAATTTTATATTATACGGCTTCAGAAGACTAATATAGCACTTTTTTGAAACTTTCACTTTCTTTTTGAAGCTTGAGCGCTCCAGTCCCCATTTATTGCAATTGCACGGAACAGAGCAACCGATTGCAATTGCACACAACAGAGCAACCACATTTTACAAAATGTCTTCCTTTGTGGTCCACTCAAAAAAGAAAGTCATACGGTCTTGAAACGAGTAAGTAAATGATGACAGAAGTTTGATTTTTTGGTGTGCCACCCCTTTACGTCATCTCAGAACAGAGCGAATAATGGCAGTACATTGTGCTACGATACATACTAAGGAAAAAGCAGCTCTTCCCTCACCCCTGCTGCCCAAAAGTGGGCCATCCTTTTTAAGTGCTCTCAGTCATCCTCTCTCGAAAAAGAAAACCATTAGCAAGTGAACTGCCTGAGTGGTTTTTGTGGTAGACCTGCATACGCTCTCCGCAGACATATTTCTGCACCCATACGTAATGCACTGGAAGCCGAGTCTAAGGTCACCTTAGAAGTCTGCACGCTGAGTTCAGAGTCTGGACCCTCATGCCGGCCTTTCCCTGCATGCGGTTTCATTCCCAGCTTAGCTTTCGTGAATTACACTTATTAATCTTGCTGCGGTGAAACCTTTGATGTGTTGCTTTGACAGTAGATTTCCTCGGCATTATGAAATAATCACCAAACAGCTGTGTTATTACGGGCAGGGTTCTGCTCTCCGCGTTACTTCTCATCATCTGAATTACATTTACTGCCTTTCTCTTTCTTATTTTCAGGAGGTTCATCAGAAGAACTCAAGCCGAGGAAACACAGGGGGCAGAAACTATCGCATGTAGGACGGCGGGGGGAACGGCTAAGAGAGACAAGCGAAACTGTTGGACAGTGGAAAACGGGATGAAAGAAAGACTGGTCTTCCAGGGGCTTGCTCCACTGTAAAAAAAGAAAAAGAAAAAGGAAAAAAAAAAATGATTTACTGAATATCTGATGATTTCCATGCACTGCACCATTCTATAATGGGGGAAAATACTAAATTAGCTGCTATAAAGAGTCAAATAATAACTGTTTATCCTCCTTGTGCGTGAACAGTTGCACATTATGGATGCCGAAAGCTTTTTAAAGTGACAAAAAATGTGTCAGAGCCCTATAAATTGGCCTTACTCTAGTTCGCAGCACCTATTAAATGTTCATATTCCACTGAATTCTGATGGATGGCCTCTGGTACAGAGGTAATAGGTGACTATTGATGCCCCACACACATTAAGTTACTTATAAATCTTATCACAATCTGGATCTAGTGGAAGAAAGCTGTATTGTTTTTATCTCAAACTTTTTTTTTTTTTTGCCTTTGTGAGAAATATTAGACGCTGCCAAGAGAGGAGTTCGCAGTGAGATCATGGACAGTGTTGACTAGAAAGGCTGTCTAGACAGTTTATACCAGATGAAACCCTCGCAAATTTGAACTATACGGCTGACGTTTAAAAACAAATCACTTTTTTCTTATTTGACTCATTGTGCAAGAGCAGTTCAAGAGGGATTATACAAAAAGCCTTATGCAGATGTGCTGAGGTGCTCTAGAGAACACATTTAGGAATGATGGACACTTAGGACAACTTGTGTGTGTTTTTTTTTTTTCAATTGTGTGTGAGGGATCTTTGCTTCTTTTTTTAAATAATTTTAACTGCATGGTTTACCTAGAAAATGGGAGGTGAAAGCCATTCACTCGAACAGTTATCCGCATGCATTTACACCAGTGTATCAGCACTCACAGGAAAGACCGAGCAGAAACTTACTAATTAGCAATTGGAAGGTATATGAACATCAATAAGAACATAATATGTTTAAGCAACTACTTTTCATCAAACAGAAAGTTGCAGGTTTGCATCTTTATAGTGAAAGACTGGTGGCATGAGCCGGACTGCAACTGACTAGCTGTATTAAAAGGATATTTCACCCAAAAAGTCATTCTTTATACTCATTTTACATTAACTTCCAATATAATATTTAGGAAAATGCAACTTTTTTTTAGCATAATACAACTTTATGGCTCACACAGTAAAAATATACAGGAATTGTGCTTTATCATGTCAATTTTGTCCATTTTTGGAGCTTTATAGAGTGCAACACTAGGGTTCCAGAAGTAAAAACTGCGTTCATTTTCTCCATAGGGAAATAGATTTTTAACATTAACTTATAAATCTAAAAAGACAGCCTTACAGTGTGCTATGAGGCTGTTAATCGATAGAATTTGCTTCTGTTAAAGCCATCAGCCCGCATTAATTCAGCTTAGTTTGAAAATAATCATGTTTAACAGTGGTATTTGTGTTGAAAAACTACATTTCCCACGACACTGTACACAAAAAATCCACCAATCAGAGTCAGAATAAGTCAAAAGTGCCAAAAGATCTCTTTAGCCACGCCCACTCCCTGCGAATGACATAATCATTGACATCTCCCTACACTCTCAAAATATTTGAATATTTATATACATATATGAATTTCTAAATTAATTTGATTATGCTGTCCGCAGTGCTTCAGGGATTGTAGTTCTCTAGCCATTAAGTGCACAAAGGCCGCTTTTCAAATATTTTTTTGCTTCAAATCTAAGTTTGTAATTTACCTCGTAGCTGGTTGGCTTGGTAAATGACTTATAACGCTTTAACAAAGACATTTTTGAAATCCCTATGGGAGAAATGATTGGAAAAAATACTTCTGGAACCAACGCCAAAAAGTGAACCAAAAAAAAAAAAAAAACTGTAAAAATCGTTTTTTATCAAATAGTCAGAATTTGTGTTTTTGGGTGAACTATCCCTACACTCCACTTTAAGTGGCTGTCAGAGGGGATCGCGGGGTGTTTTCACAGTCCCTCTGCATGGTGTTTTCCTCTTTTCTGAACCCATCGGATCATGTCAACCCACACTGTTTACTCTGTATCTATATTCAACCTATATTAACCTTTGCATTCTCTAACCATAATCGTATGTGATGGCATCATATAGCGGAACCATATAAGAGATCAACCCACTGTATAATGGTGCTATTTTGTAATTTGTTACTTGCAGGGGTTGGCTGAAAACAGAAGCTCAATGTTGGAAGTCTTCCCTTTTGCACAGCCTTGTGGCCACCATTGTAATAGTATTCTTTTATTTTTAAGCTGTTTCAATAAGGTATCAATGTAAGCGAGAGAAAGTATTTTTGTGAGCGTTGTGAATGCATGGAAAAAAGAATGAAATGAAAAATGAGGCCCAAGATGGTTAATTGCTGTTTTTTTTTTAAATTATTCATATTTTTGAATCAACATAATGTCCCTATGCCAAATAACTTGACAGAGTACTGTGAATTGCAAATCTTTACCAAGATTTTGACCATCACAATGAAGTTTTTCATGTGCACTACACTCATTTTGACATCCTGGCACTGATTCTACAACTTAAGTATTTGTAACTGGCAAGGAAATGGGGCAAAACTGTCTTCAGTGTAATACAGAGACGAGAAAGACCTCTCTCCCCTTGAGTAATAATAGAGTTACAGTAGAGTTCAACCAGCTAAAAACAGTGTAATTTGGCTAACACTGTGCGAGCCCATTCAGGACCGTTGGTTTTCTTTTCACCTGCCTGTGTTTTTACTTACGATATGCCTAAGGAGGTTTAATAGGAAAATTGCACCAAAATTATTTAAATTACACCAGAAAGGTTATGGTTTAAATAACAGCACATTAGCCATCTAAAGATAAATCATCTATAGTGTACAAAAGGCAACTATCTATTTTTTGACAACCTAAATTTGTGTCTTAAAGTGTTTGTACTTTTGAACTTGGCGGGTTTTGTTTTAAAAGTGAGCATATCTTCTCATTCGAAACAATAGAACAATGTAGAATCATGACCCAGAATATCGATGTAATGTGCACAAATGATCTGATTGTAATAGACCTCCGGCAAAAGGTCCTCACAAAATACCAAAGACTTTGGTTTGTTGGTTATAGCTTTGTAGCTAATATCATGGGTAGCACTGATGAAACTTCTCGAATCTTTAATTAGACACATTAAGGAACATATTGTTACAGAAATGTCATGCTTATTTTGAAGTGGTTCTGTTTCCTCATAAATTAAAGGGAGGATTTAAGACTGCTCATCAGAACACGTCTACATAAATCCAGACAGAAACTGTATTGAATGACAAATATTAGAGGATTCTGGGCATTGATCATTAAACCATTTTTTTTTTTTTTGATTGTGAGGCTTTCATTACTGGTGCTCAATTGCTTTCTGTATAAAATATGAAAATACTGACAGATTGTTCACCATTCCTGCTGAATAAACCACTTGTCAATACTGAAGTCTCAGAGTGATTATAAATGACAGAAACTATACATTTGCATTTCCTTATGAAACAGGAAGTCGGCTGGACTTGAATAGTCAATAAATGTTAGTTACATAACTTGCTGGCCAGTTTCAGGGTGGATGGGCTTTTCCTTCTAGAGAGTATTTGATTGGACAAAAAGTCTGTTAGAGCAGGATGAGTCATCAATTTTTTTACCTCATTTTCCCAAAAGAGAAAAACTCAAAGCTAACACAAATGAAGCTCCAAAAATGTTGATTTCAAAAAGTCTTTCAAGGCAATGTTCTTGCCTCTCGCAAAGCACATTGGATTCTAAAAAGTGATAAAGGTGTAACATTTGCCAAATAGTACATTAATGCCCTGAAACTGCACATTAGCCGGATGACAAAGCGATACTTCCTAAAATATGAAGTTCCGCCAAGACAGACAAATCAGGCAGTGGCTGTCCTGACAAGACGCTGCACATTCAGCTTTTTCAGTGACGGGACAAAGCTTCTTGGTTGTTGTCAGCACTTTTTAATGGATATATAGTGGAACAATCAAGCCTTTTAATAAATAAATTGGCCACCTGGCTTATGTTCAGCAGACATAATTTGAAATGTGGAACAGGCGGCTGGCAGGCGTTGTCTCAATGTTATTTTGAATCTTTATTTTATCCATTTTTCCTTGTAATACCAAATCAATGATTATGCCCAATTAGACAAATTATAGTCGGCAAATAGTTCTGGAATCTCTGCAAAACCAGAGAAACCATTGAATAGATTATCCAAACCTGACTTGGTCTATGCTACCTCCAACAAAAAAATACATTATAAACATCTGCTGAATGTAATTTTACACTTCTGTTAAAGGAAAGTTCAATCATTTACTCATGATGCCGTTTCAAACCCGACAGAATGTTCGCACTACTCTTTTCAATATGGTGAAGCTAAATGGTGACCAGATCTCCACAATGTCATAAAAACTGCCATAAAAATACAATAAAAGAAGTCAACAAATTATGTATTTGCTATGTTTCTCAGTATTTTTTTAAAGCAACAATAGGAATGTCCAAAAAAGTCAGCCAAGAACACAAACAATCAGTAGATACTGGACGTCCAAACCACACTCCATGAAAACACTTGAATCCTATTAAATGTTCCAATGATATTCTAGTCTATTATGACACTCCTCACACGTATACATGTCAGTACCCTATGGCATCCAGCAATGGTAATCAATGACAGCTGTTTGAAGGCAGAAGCTTCCCATCAGCTGGTCAAGTTCAGAGGGATTAGCTAAAAAGCAAGCTTGAGTATTTCCACCAGGCCTTCTGTAGCTCTCAGAGTGCCGAGTGCATCTAAGGACACGGTTCCTGGACCTAACCCTGAAACTGAAGCTTCGAGCTCATTCAACTTACGTGTGTGCTATTGTCTTTTCAATGACCTTGTGGTCTAATTCTCTCATTCCCAAACTTCTCCACAGTAGTTTCTGAAGAAATAGAATTAATGTAGGGCTAAAAAGGTTTTTTTGTTTCACTGCTACAAGGCTTCATTTTTTATTTTTCTTGTGCATGAAGGGGGGGGGGGGGGGGTAAGGTGCACTGCAACATCTGTCGGCTGCACTGCAACATCTGGCAGCTTTACAATATGGGCTTGAACAGCCAGTGATGAAACAGGTTCATTCCCAACACCATGTGTTCAGAATAAATAATCAGATTCAGGTGTGCACTAGCACTTGACTGCTTTGTGTTGTTTTGATTACTAGACAAACACATAAGCTGTAACACTTTCTAACAAACGCAGCTTGGCAGGTGATGAAAGGAGGATGAATACAATGAAAACAGACGTTCTGTTGTGTTATCAAATGTCATACAGCATAACTTGCCAAAGTAAAACACACTAATACAATGCATAAATGGCGGTGGTCTATTGAAGTCCAGAAATTCTCCCATATTCGTCCATGGCGTCTCTTCCTGTATGAGTATTTGCAGTTTCTAACACATATCCTGGCGTTTAAAATGAGACAACTTTAAAATCCACCCATTTTTTTAATACCAGTGTTGTTACTGCAAACTAAAATTAAAAAAAGTGTTTTCGTGAAATAAAACTGCTTTAACATTTTGTTTCAGTGGGCAATATTTTACTAAAACCACTCAAACTTAAATAAAAATAAATTTAATCTGAATCGAAAATGTAAAAAAAAAAAAAAAACTAATAAAAATCACACAATTACTCAAATTAAAATGAAAGTATAAAAATACCAATTCAAAATATAAATAAATGCCATGATAGTACATAAAAAATACTAAAATAACAAATAAATACAACATTTCTCTGCCCTTGAAATTACTTTTCAAGTGGATCATAAAAAAACCTCCAATGGACTAACTATCAAAATCCAAATTCAGTCACTTTTCACAGCTCACTGTGCACAATCCAATCCTGATGCATACAATTAAGTCCCACCTTACATTGTTTCATGTTGCATGTCTTGCATCACTAAATTTAAAAAGCATTGCAAAAGCCGTTTCATATACGAGTATTACTGTAATGCCACAGAATAAAAGTCCACCGATAATCAAAACCAAACTCTTCATAGGTCCCCAGTCATCATACAAGGCGTCATGTATACACAAGGTAGCAGGCGACATCCACACCCCTACACACTCCCTTTCACCCTCTACCTCTAGATCGCTCCCTCCGTCAGCAGTGGAAATTCACTGGGAGCTGATTGTGGCAAGAGAGTGTTGGCTCAGCTGCGAGCTTTAAGAACCCATGATGTCAGACACATATTTTCCTTGGAGAGTTTCTCATCAGCTGCATTGTTCCTGGAAACCATGGTCTGTTCTCTGGGTAACAAAGAAGCCAACCCCATCTCGGTCCACCATGGTCCCGCTTGAGCCCTCATTGGCCCCTCCAGCCCTGAACCCATCATTTACTACACCACCAAACAACAGACAAGTAAAGAAAATAATCTGGTAATACGATCAATGGGGAGAGTATCTTGGAATCGTGACCGCAAATTCTCCTGGTTTCCCAAAGGATGATCAAAAGCCGCTTTTTAACGTCTTCGGAAAATGAAAATGTATGGTTTGTGAGGACGTGAGTAACACAATAGGACAGAGTAACATGCCCGGTCTTTTTAGAATCCTTTGGGAAATATGGTGATGATACTGGTGATGTCATCAAATCAAGTGTCCCTGTTGACCACAAGACGCATTTGACCACTTTACAGCGTGCCCCTTGATATGAGAAGCAAAGGAACTAAATGTCCCCATGAGATGCTCCCTGACAAAGTGCTTGGTTCATCGGTCCCACTGCTTAAATCTTTCAGTCCATTTCCGCAGTTCTTTTTTTGTTGTTGCATTATTTAAAGTCATCACACAGCTCCCAGTTCTCTTGAAGAATTAATGCTTTTCCTCAAAAGAGAAGCATCCACATGTGATTTTTAATTCAAACCGGCAATGAGTGGAATATCTTTGAGTCAGCAGCCATAATTGTATGTAACTTTATCCCACATGAAAAAAAAACAACCTGTCATTCAGACCACTCTCTCTTTTCCATTACTGGGTATTTCAGCTGCCAATTCTGGAGTGGATACCTGATCCATCAGTGGCAAAGACCATGAGGTGAGAGATGGGGCGAGATGGGGCCAAATCCTGGGCCAAAAGTGTGATTCTGTGTAACAGGAAAAAAAATGCCAAAATTCTGATGTTGTTATATATCACCTCTGGTAAATCCCATGTAAAATATTCAGAGGACACAAATGGATTTCCATTGGAGTGCAATGCTTAAATTACAGAATGTTCAAGTCTCCAGTTTTCTGGCAAAAGGATAGATTTGCAAAGAAGCAAATCAAAAGTCACAGTCAGTACTTCTGTTTTAACTTCTTGTACTTCGCTCTATTTCAGTTCGCTTCTGTACTCAGTCTAAGGGCGTTTTCCCACCTGAGAGTCCGCACCAAGGTCCGAACCAAAGTTCACGTTCTAATACATTTTATACTTTCAGAAAGTTTTGGTTTCACACTGCAATTATGCGAGCGAACTAAAGAACTTTACGTGACATACTTGCGTCCTGACGTCATCATCTATGTGGGCTGCATCTTGACATTGATTGGTTTTGTAAATGGGTGTGCGTCTGACGTCAACATAAGTGTTGTCAATTGGGCGGGTAACTTTGACAACATGAATGAACAGACGCATATCGTTGCAACTGTATTGTTATTTTTATTCCAGAATTACCTGCAACACCAACTATACACAACGCTAGTTCAAATTCGCCGAATGAACGTCCTCGTCATCGTGCGAAATTTTATCGTCGCTGGCAGAAAATGAGGAGAAGACTGCAAGTTGACTTCTTATGATGTCATCAGACCATACTTCAATTAAAAACCTCGTCTCCTCATCTCCCCATGTGCTACCACAGCTCATTCTGCCATCACCTTCTTTTTTTTCGTCAATGCGGGAACCATCAGAACTTCCTGTAAAAGGTCTGAAAGTCCGAACCATACAGAAATGCTTTCACACCAAACCTTTGCTCAGTTTGATCCGGATCGAGACTACCTCTTTTCGTATGACCAGATTTCATCTGTTTGGTCCGGACTGTGGTACAGGGTAGGTTTCACGCCTGTAATTTTGATTCGGACCGAACTAAAAAAGTCAGAAAGTCCGGACCAAACAAGGTCGGTGGGCCCTGAAAGGGCCCTGAGACATCGACGTGTCTCTCAGTTTTCCTCCGGCATGAAAACAGCTGGCCAATCAAAGAACAGAGGGTGGGCTGAGAGCCGTGACGTAGACGCTGAGCACCAAGTTTAAGATTGTATTTGGTTAGGGAAATCAAAAACGACCACGGACATGGCGACACAGGATGTAATTCGCTTTGTTGTGGAGAATATTCCCAGCATTTGCAAAACTAAAGCCAGAACAAGAAGAGTGTTTGTAAAACATTTTGAATGAAGGTGATGTTGTGGCCCGACTCCCGACAGATTTTGGGAAAAGTCTAATTGATCAACTATTACCAATCGTCAGCAAGAAACTGGGCAGGCCAAAGGCTGGCAAGGCAATAGTTGTGATTGTGTCCCCCTTGGTTGCACTCATGGAGGATCAGGTTAAGGAGGCAGCAAAACTCGGTCAGCCAGGTTCAATCCGGTATTTCGCTCGATGGTTTCGTTTTCGAATCATACATGTGTTTACACTAGTGGAAGTTTGATGCGGCTGAGGTGGCGAATAACACAGATCATAACCAAAAGTTATGTGATTGGCTTACAGGTAACCATTATTTTATACCTCAGACAAGCGTCACATGGACTACTTTGATGTCTTAATTTCCTTTCTGGAACGACATGAGGGTGAGTCATTAAAGAGTAACTAAACCCTAAACCAACTTTTTTAGTTAATGATCTGTAAGAATGGATCTTTATTAATACCAGTCATTGATTCGAGAAACTTTTTTGACATTTGTGTATAAAGTGTTTTATTTCTACAATATATGGTGTAAAAAACGTCTTAGTGCTGCCCTCTTCAGGTTGAACGGTGGCTACTGCAGTTGAATTTTCCTATTGGATGTTCCGCACTTTGTGACGTACGCAGGTTTCAGCTCACCACGATCTTGGTACGAGCGGCAGTATAAAAACCAGCTTGTTTCATCAAAACCACTGTAGCGAGTCGGGAGTTGGAATTTTGAATATTGGAAACGATCAGGATGGAGTGTTTTAGCATCTATTTCGTCCCCTCTATCTCCGCTGGGGTCTGCCCACTTTTCAAATATTGCCAGTGGGTGGAGTCAGGCTCTGACCAGGGGTTTGGTTACCCTTTAATGACATAATTTTCATTTTTTGGGTGAACTAACCCTTTAAACTAGGGATGGGGGAACCAGTCACAGCACCTAAAATATACATTTGAACCTAAAATCTTCTTGTTGATGTTGAAATAAATAATTACACTGCAATGTTCAGTCAATTACTGAAGAAAATATAATGAAATTAAAATACTCAATGAAAATTAAAGTGATGACTGGATCACTAAACATAATGTATTTAATAGAGATTACCTCTAACTTAACTGAAGCTAACATTTCAGTTACGCTGAGGTCGAAAGGTTCAAAAACCTGGCAAAAAAAATAAATAATAATAATAAAATAAGCAAGACCACAAATGTACACCATATTTCAGCATGGTGGCAATTGAAGCATGAAAGGAGATCTACGAATGTTAGCATGAAATTGCACATCAGAACATTAGATTATTGTTGTGAGGGCAGTTAAAGGTGGGAAGAGGTAGCTCTGAAGGGTGAGACACATCAGAAAGTGGAGTGGCAACAGAGAAAGAGAGGTTAGAATAACAGAGCGTCAAACTATGAAGTTCAGTTGTACTCTTGCTGGAACAGCAGTGTCTCCATAGACCAGTTGAGTCCTTCAGTAGAGGCTCTCTCACTCCAACACAAATACTCACTAAATAAAGGCTGAGTGTTCCAAGTAAAATCACTTCAGCTGAGTTCAATAACTATTATTCATGTCCCATTTCTTCTTGCATGTGCAACAGCCTCCATGATGTTAATAAGGAAAACCCTTTTGTTTTCATAAGAACTGAAGAGGAGCCTAGGAGAGCAATGCAAACACACTTCTGATTTCTGATGAAGTACCCTAGGACTCTGGGCTGTGACTACTAAAACAACAAAAGTGACAAAAAAAGAAGATTGTGTGTGACCAAATGTGGTTTCATCAGATAGCTACCATCTTGTGATGTGCCATTACAGCTTAAAAGAGGGCTTCCTGTGAGCCCTGATGATCTTTTCATGAGTCAATCAAAAAGATAGGAGAAGCTCAAGCGATGTCCAGTAATTTTAAGGTGTGAATTTTGCAGGCGAAAAGCAGTTATTTCAATAGAAATCTGCACAATCTGAAATTTCTTGTGAGGGCGAATCATTTTCACATGCATTGTTCATATTTTCCAAGTCTATCCAAGCAAATTCACTGCATTGACCAACAGAAAGCTGCTTGGTTTGAATGAAAGTGACTTTTGTGCAAGCAGTGCTTCATGCACTAACTACACCATTGACAATGGATGAAGGACTTCTTTTGCTGGTGAAACGTCGCTAATGTGAACATACATATACTGTAGTGCACTTTTCACACTGCATTTAGAGTTATTGTCGTTGTAAACCACTTTTAATAAAGTGGGTAAAGGAACTCTTTCCATTTGTAATTTAGGAGGGGGTTATTTAACCTGGCTGCGCCCTCCTGCGCACTTCCGCTCAATTTCATTTTCTTTCAATTCTACTGAAATGAAATATACAAGACTCTGGTTGAACCAGGCTAGGGGATATTACCCCTTTTGAAGGTTTGCTGCCATTATTATGCCTTTCTTATTGAAAGATATTGTCTTGAATGTAGGCTTGAACACCTTCCTACCTCTCACATCATTCTTCAGAATATCTCTCTCAATAAATTGGTCCATTGAAGACCACAAACACAAGCCTCCTTTCTTTGAGAGGTCAAAGTTCTACCTATGATTAAATTACATATAATCCAACACTGACCTACAAACAAAAAAAAGGACAGGAAGGTATTAGACAATACCATGAGGAGGCGGCACCAAGGGAACTGGAAATATCTGATGGAGGATGAGGTCTCAACAGGCATTCTCCCTTCTTTGAGGCTCATTTCTTTCATATTGTAAATGTTTGTAGCAGATTACTACTACCGTTGCTTTTAGATATTATACAAAATGTGACTTCAGTGCACAACCTCTGACTCACTGCATGAGCTTGAAGAACAAAGTGTGGTAGGGGTACAAAGTCACAGTTGGGTCTTTTTGAAAAGAAAAAAAAACATTAAAAAGATAATCCTCGTAGTATCTTCCCTGCGGATGGTCATCAACCTCTTTATGTCAAGGTGAACCACTTTCACCAAAGAAGTGCCATGGAAGTCATCAATACCTCAAATAATAGATCAAAATGGCCAACTCATCATCATCAGACATTATAAAAGCACACCACATTTGCTTCTTAGAGGACATGCGAGTGCAAAGTCAGGTTCATGCGAGCAAATCAACCATCATCGCCCAAGATCATGGCATACATGCTCATGTTTGCACTTGCACTTTTAGTTGAGTTGAATACTCACTCAACAATGGCTCTGCCCAAAGTTATGATGGATGAAGAGCACACAGACCAAGATAGACTGGCATCGATAGCAGGAGATGATGATATAAGTAAAATACGACCTGGGCAGCTCACATTTAGAAGACACCCCATCATAGAAGGCAGACTGGTGGATGAAGACGGGACAAAACGCATCTTCATACTTGCTGTAAGTGTTTGCATGTCAATTTAATGTTCAGTTTGTTTCACGTGAGACCAGCCTTGTCGGTTAACATTTTTAAAATCTGCTTTGAATCTTTTTTATTCCTTAGCTTTTAACTAACTTTTAAAAATAGATAGTCAGTTAAGTGCATTGTAAATCACTTTAAACTCCTGTTGTTTTTTAATGCGTGATATAAGTAAAGATTTAGTTGAGTTGACAAACAAAGGCTTTGTTTCACGCACAGGGCTTAGATTAAGTCAGGATTAGGCTTTAGTTCAATTAGGGCATTTAAGTAGCTTTTATAAACGTGCTTAAGAGAAAAACATTACAAGAGTGCATCTTGAGACAAAACAATGGTACTGACCTATTTTAAAGGGTTAGTTCACCCAAAAATGAAAATTATGTCATTGAAAATGTATACACGGTATACTGTCCTTGTCCCGAAAGCCGTCATCAAAGTAGTCTGTGTGACATCAGTGGGTTAGTTCACCCAAAAATGAAAATTATGTCATTGAAAATGTATACACGGTATACTGTCCTTGTCCCGAAAGCCGTCATCAAAGTAGTCTGTGTGACATCAGTGGGTTAGTTCACCCAAAAATGAAAATTATGTCATTGAAAATGTATACACGGTATACTGTCCTTGTCCCGAAAGCCGTCATCAAAGTAGTCTGTGTGACATCAGTGGGTTAGTTCACCCAAAAATGAAAATTATGTCATTGAAAATGTATACACGGTATACTGTCCTTGTCCCGAAAGCCGTCATCAAAGTAGTCTGTGTGACATCAGTGGGTTAGTTCGAATTTTTTTAAGCATTAAATACACTTTGGTCCAAAAATAACAAAAACTACGGCTTTATTCAGCATTCTCTTCTGGTTCTGTTGTCAAGCCGCATTCAGTGATGCTGCTGACGTAAGACGCCGCTGAAGTGTGATCTGGTGTGTCCAAGCTTAGTATACAGTCCGAGGGAGACACACGCTGTAAACAAATCAATCTTCACAAACATCTCTAAGGATTTCGACTTGCATTTTTTTTCAGAGGAAGACTTGCAGTTTTTTGCCCAGCCATATTTATTTGAACCCGAATACACGGACACACCAGATAACACATCAGCAGCGTCTTGCGGTCTTGCATCAACACTGCGGACTCATGAAAACGGTTTGACAACAGAACCGGAAGACAATACAACGCTGAATAAAAGTCGTAGTTTTTGTTATTTTTGGACCAAAATGTATTTTCGATGCTTCAAAACATTCTAACTAAACCACTGATGTCGCATGGACTACTTTGAGGATGTCTTTATTTCCTTTCGGGACAAGGACAGTTTACCGTACATACATTTTCACTGAATCCAAAATATCTCAAACTCTGTTCTGAAAATGAACGGAGGTCTTGCGGGCTTGGAACGACATGAGGGTGAGTCATTAATGACATAATTTTCATTTTTGGGTGAACTAACCTTTTAAGATATGTCAGTAGCTTTCAGTTAAAACACCTCAAACATGCATTTTAGTCGGGGACTAGGCTTATCTTTTTTTTTTTTTTTTTTTAGATTGTATTTGCCAACACTTGTACATTTCCAGGCACTTTACAAGTTTGGTTTCAGTCCATTTAAAGCAACGATTTACCTTTAAGAAATCATACCAACTCGATTTTGCTGGCATTGTAGGAGTCAGGTGGCTATAGTGGCTAGTTTCTATGGGTATCTAACAGAGCTTTCGCAATTCAAGTTTGAATTGTCCTCACATTGCTACAATTATCAGTGCAGTAATGGAACAGTCGGAGAGGACTATGGGAAGGACACGGTCACAAGAGGGGAAATGGAATCTATGGATAAAAGGGCCCATGGTGATATTGTGAAAATTGGCTAAGCGAGGCATGGGAAACTTTGTCGCAATTTGACATTTCTTCCATGTGGGGCTCCATGCACTGGATTTGCTCCAGTAGTTTGGGAGCAGTTATGGAGAAGGATCTACTTGAGGCTGCCCTTGGGCGTGTTGTTCAAATTAACTTAAACATCTCCATGTGTGGTTTCAGACTTTTATTCTCCAGAAAAAAATGCCTGTAGAGGGAGCAGTGTTTTGAGTTAGGCTGCTTCTGTTCAAGTGGTTGTCTCACGTTCAGATTTTTTTCTTATGCGTTTCCCTTTTCCATCAGGACACAAGAATAAACGAGTCTCCTGGGAAGGAAGCAAACCTTGCCTTTTCAAGAAACTTCCCTGTACTGTCGCCACGTGGGACGGATCATGGTCTGGATGGATTCAACATGAGGGATGAGCGACGTAGCGTGGATGATGTCATTCCTGTGGGCAGGAGGGACATAGACAGTAAGCACTGCCAAGTTTCTTATCTTCCTCCTTTCCACTGGTGAGATATTCTTACCTAGCCATGAAAGCAGTCTAAAATTGAATAGTGTGAAAGTGCTTTTGAAGCAGTTCTTAAGTTTTTTAAATAATTGGCCATCCATCTAGGGCAGTGTTCCCCAAACCTGGTCCTGAAGTACCTTATTTTATCTCTTATCCGACACATAAATCTAAAGTCTTGGGGTCAAAGCTACTTGAAGGCAAGGATGACCTACTTCCGGCAAGATTTTATAAGTGATGGACACTTCACAAATCCTCTCCTGTGGCCTCATGGGATAGTAGACAAATGACACTGGTAGGTCATGTGATTAGGGCAACATGGCTAATGTAGTACGACAACGTTGCATTCATGCAATATAAACATATTTTAGCAGCCATGAAGTAATTACCTCTTCAAAATGAGTACCTACTCAAGAGATTATGCGATTTCAGATGCAGCCCGTCTCTCCTGGAGTCTCCACTAAAGAGATGGTGAGTTGAATCAGGCATGTTTGATTTGGGAGAACTCCAGGCCCAGGGTTGGGAACCACTGATCTAGGGGAGGACCAAAGCCCTTCAGAGATTAGCTCCAACCCTAATCAAAGAGACCTGAACAAGCTAATCAAAGCCTTCAGTGTTTGAGCTGAACTTTTCAGGGAAGCGACCCTCCTGGGATGGATATTATGAACTCTGTTCTAGGGAGTTTCCCAAAGATGCTGCGATAGACTCCAGCATCCCTGCCACAAACATTTTAGCTTCACCCCCTTAGGACGCAAGAGAAGGATACACCCGTGTATTCACGCTCATGACTCCACAGGAAGCTTCCTCGGGATGCAATTTTGTGAATTAAGAGGCCCTTCAAGATGGCCAAGTTCAAGCAGTTTCCAGGTAACAGGAGGAGCAAGGAAACATCGATTTGAGTATTGAGAAGCATCTGAGTAGCCTGGAAAAATGGATGAACGATGGATGGAAAACATTTTACAATATAAATTTACCAATGGGTAAAAAGCTGTACCTGACATCCATAACTTTATGAAAAACAATAGATTACCATAAATAGAGCCAGACTCAGATGGTTTTCTAGGTGTTCAAACCCCTCTAAAACGGTGGTGGAAAAAAGTTTTATCAGTAGAGAATTTACCCATGAGTAATCAAGTTGTCTTCCAGTTCTATTTAATACTAATCTTGTTTTGCTCTTCCTGTTCTCTTCACAGTGCTGAGGTGCATGATAGGAAGAGTATACAGGCCCTGCTGGCAAGCTTGAAAACAGAGCAGCTGACAAAGCATCTGTGTGATATTCCCAGCTCTCCCTTGATCCTTCAAGATCCTCGAATTATAAAGACAACAAACATACTTGTATGATTTCAAAGAACGGAAATAAAAAATTTATTAAAATCTGCAAATGATGGGTCATGTTTAAGGAAACCAGAAAGCATACATTATGAAATGTACTCCAGGCCTTCACACAATCATCAACTAAAATACATCTCAAACATGCCCACAAACAAATATATACACGTCAGTATCTGCAGAGGAGTTCCCTGTCTCCCTGAAGTTGATGTGATTGTTTTTATTAAAGGGATAGTGAAAGCATTTAAAGGGATATTTCATGGCAAAAATAAATGAGGGTGCAAATGACCAGTTTCAGGTGAACCATCCCCGTTAAATGCATTTAGACTACCAATGAATTAAATATGTGCTTGTTGCCAAAACAGCATCATCATCATCATCATCAATTAGAGCTCACGGCGTAAATTATAGTCTCAAAAATCCAGTCAGTTTGCTCTGACCAGCAATGAGCTTCTTGCCGGCAGATTTACTGCTCCTTTTCCCCAGGCCTCCAGCGGGAGCCTTGGCAGGGGGTCTTTTCTGAGGGGGCTGGTTCTCTTCTTTTCCATGCTCAGCGCACTCTCTATTGGCAAGCTTTCTCTTCAAGGTCCCGGTTGCTCTTCGGAACGGTTCTGGCTGGGTACCCTTCCCACCTGCTTGCTTCCAGGCATTTCCACTATGTTCCCCCATAGCGGATTCGCTGGGACCTTTACACTTCAAGTTAGTGGCCTCTGGGTCCACATCCACAGAAAAACAAGTGGGGACAAAAGAAAAACATTGGAATTTGAGAATAAGGTGAAACAATGAACGGGAATTAAAAAAAGAGGGAGGGCAGAGAACGGGAAGGGTAGAAAAGGTTATGATGAAATTGCTGACGTTAGTCTGCACTTTAACAGGCGGTGTGTTTATTTTACAGTGCTGAAGCTGAACATTTGTCATTTAACCTGGTGGAGCAAAGCCCACGTTCCCACAAAAAAAAAGCAAGCGAGGGGGGAAGAGGAGCATGAGCTCTCTGGGCTTTTACAACAGATGTGGGGGCGGCCAGGTTTTATGGGATGGGGAATCGTTTAAAGGTTGATCTTAAGTACCAGTCCCCAAGCAGGGATCGAGGCCTGGGCTGTGGAGGTGGACCTGGGCATCTTTCCGACTGTGTGGCGTCAGAAAAGGGGAGCACTTTGCGTATGTACGCAGTGAATAGACCAAGCATGAAGGTTATTCAGTACACTTAGAACTGAGCCCTCTTGTTAAGAGGGAAAAAAAATGGTCTCACAATAGATTAGGGTCTAATTCTCACTATTAACTATGACTTTTAACAAGCAGTAATTAGGAGTTTGAGGCAATAGTAAGGTAGCTGGTAAGATAGGTATTGGGTAGGATTAATGGATGTATAATATGGTCATGCAGAATATTAATAAGGCAATATGTGCTTTAATAAGTACTAATAAACAGCCAAAATCATAGTAATATGCAAGCTAATAAGCAACTAGTTAATAGTGAGAATTGGGAAGTGTTCCCAAAAACAATACATAAATACAAAATGACTTGAAGAGATTTCTTGCCAGTTTGTTACGGGAGGTGGGACTAATTCTAGAGAGCCTTTGATAGGACATGGGTCTGTGGCATGCAGGATTAGTCAATATAAATATTTCCGCCACCGTTTCTCAAGAGAAATCCTAAAGATTTTAAGATTTCATATTTAATTTCGTCAACTTTAAGAGGACACAACAGCATCTACGTGGTCTCAAAGCTAATACACAACGAAAGAGTGACATCTTTAAAGGGGGGGTTGATTGCGATTTCACTTTTTTTCATTTTAAATAGTGTGTAATGTTGCTGTTGGTGCATGAACAGTATCTGCAAAGTTGCAGCGCCTAAAGTTCAATGCAAGCAGAGAGATCATTTTTTAAAAATCAGGAAGTATATTGCCTACAAAAACGACTCGATTCGGACTACAGCTGGGTTTTAGACGTCACTAACCCATAGATTTGCATCAACCCCTCCCTCCGGAATATACAAAAAAGGGCATTGCCATATTTCTGCGTCTCGTCGAGTGTGTTGTTCATCCAGCTGTCAGGTCTTCTGTGTTCGAGCTTCCCACGGACGCTGTACTTCGTCAACAATGGATACAATTTATGTTTGATTATGTTCCTGAAAATGACGATCGTAATTTAGCTCTCTGTGCTGCACATTTTACGGAAGACAGCTTCCAGAATCTCCACGAATTCAACACCGGATTCAACAAGAAACTGTTACTAAAACATGAAGCAGTTCCAACTTTAAAACCAGAGGCAGCAGTTGTTGGGCCACAACCTGTAAATGGGCTAAGACTTTATCATTTTAAATGTATTTGTATGTATAATTCCAGACTTAGCCTTGTGTTTTAGTTTTTTTCAAATGCCAGCGCTGGCTTTATAGCCACTAGGCTACTAATTATGCTATTTTGCGTCTACGACAAGTGCGTGCAAACATTATGGACCTGTACTAATGTTGTAAATGTATTTTTCATGTATATATGCTTTATGACGTTATTTTCGATTTGATCAAGAACGTAAATGCCAACGCTGTTTGAGTATAACATTAGTAGCCAGTCAGTTGCTAGTTTTGCCAGTCAGATGCTTTTGTAAAACAAACGTGCATAAAGTTAAAATATGTAGCAAATTATCATTCAGAAACGTTTAGTAAGAGCCGTGTGTGGTGAGGTTCTGCTTGACTCTTTTCATCGCCGCTTTTCTCCGTCCGAAACTGATGCTGCAGTTCGACATCATTTACATCTGGACCGGAGCAGAGCCATATATTGAGAGGCTCTGGACCAGGGAACAGGTAATATAGGTAATGGGCGTTAACCTTCCGGACAACGTGAGCGACAGTTTAGCCAATCACAACACACTGGCCCAAACTAACCAATCTGAGCCCACTGCCTGTTTCTGATGGAGTGGTTTCATAGACTCAGGAAGTCAACAGGTCGTTCGAGGACAGAGGAGAGCGCGGCTTACAATAAAGGTGAACTTTATGAAAAATAAGACTTTTTAAAAAAGAAAACCCACGAATACATGTTATATTGCACCCCATAAACACAATCATGCAAAGAAAAAAAAGCAGTCAACCCCCCCTTTAAGCTTGGCAGAGACACTACCTTTGAGTCTTTTGTCCATCCCAGGGGAGTCACACTCTTCCTCCACAGACGTTCGTTTGGGCGCAGGGTGCGCACAGGTGGGAAGTTGGCTACCACTTGGAAATTCCAACACCCGGCTGAGGGGCAGCTCATCGCCCTTGTACGTACACGCAAACTGAGAGCGGATGGTTGGCCGCACAACCTGGGGGAAAAGTGTTAAAATGGTCAATAAATATACATTTTCAGTTAGTGTTGGGTTTCAAAAAAAAGTGAACAGCTTATTCTCATGTACGTGTATACTATACAAGTATATGTACATGCTACTCAGTGCTATATTGCCAAGAATATTCAAATCGTCTGCTAGACATGAATAAGGTCAATGAATGAAGAATGTAGCACTGCAGCACTGGTCTGAGAGGACAAGTAACGGTCCCATCAACTACCCAGAAACACTCTGACACTGGCCTCATCAGATCGTCCGTATTGTTCAGCCCTGCTGATACAACATGGGTGGAAACGACCACATCTAAAATCTTATGAGAAAATATACAAAAACAAAGATAAATATTGCGGTCCGGAAGCCGTGAGGAGCATGAAATAAGGAAATGGTAGCTTGAACAGGGGTAGTGAACCTCTCTAGGTCTCAAGGGTCTCAGAGAAGCGCTGATCCACCACATTCAGGGCCTTTGATCCATCCCTGCTAAGGATTATCAGGATTCAAGGCTCTCTCCCTTTAGGCTAGCCGGCCGCAGTTGGAGAGTGGAATTCAGCAAAGTAAAAAAATAAAAAATACTGCAGGCATACTTGGGTGGGACTGCAAAGCATAGAGAAAACGGGGCAGGGGGTTTGGAAATCAAAGCTTGAGTGCAGCTTTTCAAAGCACTTCTCAAAAGAGCACCTAAAACAACAGTATCGGTCAAACTGGGTGCTTTCATTTGGGAGGCTTATATGGTACATTGGGCAGCCCTGACTGAACGCCAAGAGAGAGCCCAAGAAAAACTTCGACAGGCTGGGTCCACCAGCTACTTCCTCTTCCTCTGATATGAACGTCATCATTAAGGCTTCAATAAGATGAGGGGTGTGTCTTCATGTTTATAAGGCATACAATGAAATGACGCAGGATTGAATAACACCTGCCCTGAGAAAAACCCAAGGAGTCAGCTTACACAGCACTAGCAGCACAGCAGTGAGATCAAAGGAATCTCACCCTCAAGTTGTTTCAAACCTTTATGAATTTATTTCTTCTGCTGAACACAAAAGATGATAATTTGAAGAATGTCGGTCACTAGACAGTTGATGGACCCCATTGAAAAAAAGTCAATGGGGTTCTTCAACCGACATTCTGCAAAATATAATTCTGTGTTCAGCAGAAGAAAGAAATTCATACAGGTTTGAAACAACTTGAGGGACAATAAATGACAGAGTTTTAAATTTAGAGCCAGACCGATAAAGGATTTTGAAGGCAGATACCGATACAAATATTTGTTGGTTTTAAAAATCCGATATATCGGCCGATATTATTATTATTCTTGTTTCAGAAATGCGCAACAAAATATTAACAATTTCCCTAACATTAGTTATTTATAATTATTTATGAGTTTTAACTAAAATAATATGATAATGCATTTTTAAAATAATCTTGTTTCTATTGTCACAACGGAACAGAGGAACATCAAAATATTTTAAAGTTCTGATAAATTAAATAATAATTAGTCCCTACATTGCCTTACAGTTATAAGCGACCTTATAATTATGTCAGCTTGCTTATCCCTTTACCTGCACTTTTTGACAACACTCATGACATGGTTGAAGCATGATTCGTCCGTTTTTATTTTATTTTTGAAATATTCATTTATCGGCTATTATAACTGCCGATACCGATATTTTCGAAAATGCCTAATATCGGCCGATAATGTCAGCCTGCCGATATATCGGTCTGCCTCTATTTAAATTCAGTGAACTATTCCTTTAAGTCTGGATTTTAGACTACTCATAGTGTTCCTGTATGTTGAAAAAATTATTAAAAATTATTATTGCTACAACTATTATTATAACAAAAGAATGTTTATAAAGTAGAAATATCCATCCATCCATCCATTTTAGGGTGTTTCTGCTTTCAGCCCACAATGCTGGAATAGGTTCCAGCATCCTTGTGACAACATAGGATAAGCATGTTGGAAAATGCACGGATTATTAATAATAACACAAATATATGTATATTCAGAATAACCCATTTTTACTATTATTATTTATTCTACTTTTACAGTTTATTAAATAATATTTTTTATTATAATACAGCTCGGCACGGCTCACTTGTGGTGCTTCTCCACTGCATGGTATGGTACGGCTCGCTTTACGCTTGGAACCTCAACATAGGCGTTACCATTTTACAGTATCGATACTAAAATGTGACGTGAACACACTGCAGATAACTGATTGGTCAGACAGAATAGTCACTACCAGCATCATTGTATTTGCGAGACATTCAACCCACTAGATTTAAATAGCCAGATACAGCCACTGCTGTAGCACCTGTTTTAAAACTACTTGGATAAACTATAACGGTCAGACCAGAGCCATAGAGAGAATGGCTCTATGGCTCTTTCTCTCTATGGCTCTGGATCAGACTATAATCCCACCCACTTTGAAGCTAAAGCGAACCGAGCCGTGCTGAGCCGAGTCGTACCACGCAGTGGAAAAGCGAAGTGAGCCGAACTGTACTGAGCCGTACCAGCATTGGAAAAGCGTCATTAGTGATGAAACCGTTGGAGTACGACTGGATAAAGTCATTCTGCAGACAACAGGAAATAATAACCTTTCAAGTTTCCCTTGCTAGCTGAGTAACGCCACTGATATGGCATGTTCAAAGTGAAATTGATGCAGAAAAAGCTTCCGCCCGTCCAGTTCAGGAAGCGGTGAGCTGCCCGGGGACCATTACCGCTCACTAACACAGGAAGGCGGCCAAAGTGGAGGTCTAAAGAGACATCTGCTAGCGCAATCAAATAAAGAAGCCTTTTAACAAAATGTGCCTAGCATACATGTTCACAGAGCGCTCACCATTTCTTGGTTGGTGAAGATGCCCAGTCCTTAAAAATTAAAGTGCCATTCATCACCACATTTAAAACGTGTTAGCAACCCAGAGACTAGTTAAATTTGGTTTCAGAAACAAACTCATTTAGTTCCCATTCAAGCAGTTTCATATTACGAGATTTATTCCTTTCAAGAATTCTATGACCAAATAGTCAAATAAATCCTTACAAGGCCAGAAGACAATCCGACATTTTTAGCACATGCAAATATAATCTTTCTTCTCACAGCCCACCAAGACCATTTAAAATGTTTTCTGGATAAGATAGGCTTGAAGTGTGAGTGCGCATCACTGCCAGAGGTTATTAGTTCAAGTTAGGAGTGTACTGTACTACACTAACTTACACACTCAGTGGTTGTTTTTATATAACAGGAAACCCGCTGCACAAGCACCTTGCATTAAAAACAGCTGTAGTGTATAAATTTGCACATTACAAAACAGAGGAAGCAGATGATATAGCTTGTGAACATGCATTACTTGCTGTCTGTTTTAAAAATCAAGCGTCACATTCAATTTTTATTTGACCGCTATTTGAGACCAGGGTCTCTGCTTACAACCCAGATGATTCTTTACCTTGGACTTGATATGTTCTTGTTGGCTCAAGACGCGGTTCCGTAAAGGTTTTGGAGAAGATCCCGTAGGAGCTTCTGGAGATCTATAGGCACAAATTGGAACGAGAACAAGTTGAATAACTGAAGAATAAAACGTGGTGTTAATAATTCGACATAAAAATAAATAACTGCAACAACAGTCAGTTTGAATTAGTCCAATTAACACAAATTAACTTTTTTTGCCACACCTGTCAAAAGAGGACTAAACTGATCAAATAGACAGGAAATATCTACTAACTCTACAACTGTATTTTTGCATAATTGAAGAAAACAAGAACAATGATACTAATTGAATTTTTTTTTTTTTTTTTTTTAACAACTACCATTTTTGACAACTACCGACCTGGCATGCACCGTGCAGTGTTTTAGTCATTTTCGCAAGGGAATTCCATGGGGATAATTTTGATTAGTGAAAATGAAAGTGCCATGTAAATGCCAATAATGGTATAGTACGTTTAACCCGCAACCTTTGGGTTACCAGTCGGACTCTCCAACCATTAGGCCACGACTGCTCATTACATAGTCAATTTGTAAGATCATTGCCTTTTAATCGTACCATCAAAGTGGTGTAACTCACTTGTACAGGGTAAGAAGACAAACTCCAGCGCTGCCATTAAGAATCGCATGATCTTCAGAAAGCAGTTCCACCTTGTTCCTGCAGGGCGGGGCTAGTGCCTCTTCATCCAAGAGGACCATCAGAACCTTCACAGTCTCTCGGCCCCCATAGGCAGTAGAGTGGTTTATGGCATATGCTTTGGGCTAAAAAAAAATTAAACATTGTGTCTTACTAATAATGCTGGTTTGGAGAAATTCCGAAAATATAGTACATCAACTATGTTTTACCCTGGCTGGACTAATTCCTGTGTCAACCACTGACTGCATCTGCGTGGTGTGTATTTGACCGATCCTTTCCTTGAGACTTTTGTCAGTGTCCTCTGCTGCAAGGTATACTGGGTCTCCAGCACTGCGGCCTTTGACCAAAGCAGCTCTAATCCTAGACACCAACTTGGATCCAGCTTCTCTGTTTGGGAAAAGACAGACAATCAAGAAAACACATATTTTCAAATTTCACCAATCCTAAATGCGCAGTCACAACTGCCAAAGGAGATTTTTCTCCGTGTTGTGGGACACTTTTGTACATTAACATTCTGGATGGGTTTTTCAGGGATTCCACAACTTTCCACAGCAAGATTCACAATCTGCTCAGTTACTGGGATTTTCACGCACAACCATTTCTAGGGTTTACAAAGAATGGTGTGAAAAGGGAAAAACATCCAGTATGCGGCAGTCCTGTGGGCAAAAATGCCTTGTTGATGCTAGAGGTCAGAGGAGAATGGGCCGACAGATTCAAGCTGATAGAAGAGCAACTTTGACTGAAATAACCACTCGTTACAACCGAGGTATTCAGCAAAGCATTTGTGAAGCCACAACACACACAACCTTGAGGCGGATGGGCTACAACAGCAGAAGACCACACCGGGTACCACTCATCTCCACTACAAATAGGGAAGAGAGGCTACAATTTGCAAGAGCTCACCAAAATGGGACAGTTGAAGACTGGAAAATTGTTGCCTGGTCTGATGAGTCTTGATTTCTGTTGAGTCAGAATTTGGCATAAACAGAATGAGAACATGGATCCATCATGCCTTGTTCCCACTGTGCAGGCTGGTGGTGGTGGTGTAATGGTGTGGGGGATGTCTTCTTGGCACACTTTAGGCCCTTAGTGCCAATTGGGCATCGTTTAAATACCTGAGCATTGTTTCCGACCATATCCATCCCTTTATGGCCACCATGTACCATCCTCTGATAGCTACTTCCAGCAGGATAATGCACCATATCACAAAGCTCGAATCATTTCAAATTGGTTTCTTGAACATAACAATGAGTTCACTGACTGAAATGATTCTCTAGGCCTTTTAAAAAAATAGAGCTTTCAGATTTTCCATGACTGTCAAACTCCTGAATATTAATTATTCATTATAAAAAGATGACATTTATTGCAGAAAAATAATTTTGCATGATTAAAATCTAAAGTGACCACTCCATAACTCATGTAAAAATGTGGTCTAGGAGGATCCAGAAGGTTTTAGTGCCAGACCAGTGCTATTGCTGAACTCCACCTCACTTTATGTGTGAATATATGAAGAGATTAATAAATGTAAACATTTGGGCTGCAGCGGGAAAGAGGCCGCCCTGAATCCCTGACCTTGCTTTTGTGAAAGGGAATTACAGTAACAGAATCATCTGGGAAAACAGATGTTAGCTGTACGAGAGACCCCGATTCCCCCGTAAGGAGTGTTTGTGTGTGGTAATACAGTACTCCACAAGGTGCTGGGAGGTGGGGAACTGCACAGGCAGGGTAGCAGGCCGATGAAAGACCCCTTTTGGCTCAGCGTTCGCACTCTCTCATCAGAGAAGAGACGTGGTGGTGGTGAACAGGGCCACATGCACTAGGTTCAAGGCACTTCCATCAAAAATTAAGTTGATGCACTCCAGGAAATGATCTTGCGTCCATTCTGAATAACCCCAATCATCCATACAATGCAGCTCCAAGTGTTGTGCTGCCAAATGTCTAGTGGAGATTTGCTTGGATGTTTTGAAGTGCAACTTATCATGGCAGAATATCAGTGTTATGACTTTTAATCAGAGTTATCAAACTAAGGTGGGACAAGTCGCCATTTGCTGTTTAGAACAACACACTTTGATGTTCCTCAGATAAACATGCTTGAACAATTCAGGCGATTTCATTAATACTGGTGCAGACGTCATTAAAGGCTGCGTTTCAGAGAATAGGAACATGCATCAATAGATAACGGGTAAAAGACGAGAGGATCCGTTTTAAAGATAGGAGACCAACAGATCTACATACAGATCAGGAACATTTTCTTTGAGCCAAGCAATGCGATACAAAATCTGTATAAATCAAAGGCTTCTATCTCTCATCTGGGGTCGTGCACTTATGATAGAGAGATGCAAAGGAGGTCAAGGCCAGGTCATGACATTCCTTGCAACTGATTCAAAGCAATGGCTATTAGAAAAGTAAACTCCTCATAAACTTACTGGCTTTACAAAATATATATACTTGCCAATGCCAAATAAATAAATAATCTGATATTTTACACAAAATTGGGTTATTATTATGCCAGGGCAACATTATAATATATTATCAATATTAAATTTCAAACAGTGTGAAGTCATGTGAGCAACTAGAAACTTTATGGAATTATACCCGATTCTTCACTTAATACTATAACTACAATATTTATGTTCAAATAAATTAAATGTTGATGTATATATATTTATATGTATATATATGAGTCCATTTTGAACACTGCAAATGTCTTGAGTCCACATTGCGGCTCTACATTTACCAATGTTGGACACACGGTTCCTAGAGTTCCTATTTAGGGCAAATAATGCGTGAAAGCATACCTTGGATTGGGGGTTTCTCCTAAAATGTCTTGACACTGATCGACAAAATTGAGATATTCCGATAAACCCTTTATGTGCTTCCTTAAGGGGTGAGATTCAGGTGGGGCGTACCCCTTTCCTCCCAGCTGTATGGCCCTGATAAACGATGTCACTGTCTGAAAATGCAAAAAGGCAATTAATCAGCATTCACATTAAGCTTAAAAAAAACCTACATTTGTTCAACTAAACATCTTTTTATTTACATTTTACATAGAAAATATTAAATCTTTTCTATTCTAAAAGTGCAAGTCATTGCAAATTCACCAAGAAAAGAGATGAGCCGTTGTTGCATGCAGCATGTCTCAGGTCAGTAAAGGCGATGTGCCCCAGAGAGCGTTTAGGGTTGTCCAGGGTGTACACAAGGGCCAGGTCATTCTTACAGTTCACCAGAAGGCCCAAATAAGAACAGAAAACTCTCCTGACGACTCGCTGTATCTGAAAGAAAAATTTAACAACTACTAGGTGGGATGATTTGTATTGTACTAAAACTCATATGTAAAATGAAAGAGTAAATGGTTTGCTTTTTTAACAGGAACAGTTCATACTCTTCCGTTCTTCCTTACTGATGATGAGTCAGTTAGCGGACTTGGACTCATGTTGTATAGAGGACTGGCTTTTTCCACAACCCCTTAAGCTTAAACAGGCCAGGCTCATAAACTTCATCACCCCCAGTATTACAGTGGCAAACTCTAGCGTCTACTCGCACATAAATCAGAGTCCAACAGAGCAGCTGTGAACAGAACTGGGCAAGAGTAACAGTAGTTTCAACACACTATACAAAGTGCTTTTAAAACATCCTGTTCTCACTTCTGAATGATATGATATTCACGTTCTTTTGAATAAGAGACATCCACGGGTGTGAAATTTAACAGGAAACAAAGGGGAGAATGAGAGCCAGGAAAAGAAAACTAGAGAAAGTTCTAATCTTGACATCAGCAAAAGAGCCAGAATCAACATTAATTAACCCTTTGTTAAGCTTCGACCTCCTTAGTTGCTGTTAAGGTGCAATATTTAAAAAAATGTTCCATAGGATACTGAGGTGGATTATTAAGTGCCAATTAATTGTTCATATTTGTCTTTTTTGAAGGTTATTGGACAATAACCATAATCATCTAGGTACGTTTCAAAGGAGGTCAGCCATTTCAAAAGTGTGTGTGTGCACGTATATATTTATATCCATTTAATTTTCTTGTGGAAATTTCTTGGTATTATGAGTAAGATCCAAAAAAAAAAAAATAAATAAATAAAATAAGTCCTTCTCTAGTTACCTGTGGACTACAGATTCCAGCCTTGTTAGAAGGAGTTGCAGGACACACAGGAAAAGATTCATTTTTTCCCAAACTCTCCTTTTCACCAATGAGAAACTGAAACAGTTGCATCTAGATATCAAGATAAGAACACAGTGTAATGAATCTTGGCCAGGCGAGTTACATCAACACATACACACACACACAAACCTTTCACTTCCCCCACACATCGGAATGTGTGGAATGTTTTTTGAACAAAGAGAAGGACTTTTGGTGTTTAAAAACATTCAACAAAATGTTTTCAATGGTTTTTATGTATATGTGTCTTCCCCATGTCACAGTGAAATAACTTTGTTTGATCACAGTTTAAATAGGAATTAAAAATACCTTCGTCATGCATTTGAAACATAAGTGTATATTCCTTTGATATAACATAATGTTCCTTGATATCCCTAGAATGCTTATTGAATGAAACACTCGAATATGCATAGAGATGTAAAGTAAAGTCTATTTTTAATTCGTTGTACTGCCAATGAAGATCAAATTGCTATTGCAAAACCCTCATTTAACACACCCCCTTCCACGAGAAGCGCGCGCTGAGGAACAAAAGAAAGCTTCCCGCGTGCAACATCCACTCTCCGATTGGCTCAAGCCAACAGGAAGGGGATGGATTTCTCCAAGGTGATAAATGTGAGAACGCAGGTCCGCCCTCTCTCTCTTCTGAACTTTCCAGCGCTCAACATGTAAACCTCACGGGACTCTGATCCAACCATGGGTCTTTCCTTTTGTTCGTCTAAAAGTTTCATCTTTTCCTCAAGTGGACTACCAAGTTCGTCTTCCAGGAAAGGAAGTGGACTTTGCCGAACTATCTCCTCGGGTAACGTCACCTCAAAGACTCTCAGCCTTTCAAACACTGGCGCTAAATGCCGACGAACGCCACGTGACTCCCCACGGAACAAAGCAGCCATGAACGAGCCGGGACGGGCCGCGCAAACATGCCCGCGCCGCGCTTCACGTGACGCACGCGCGCCGGACCGGCGCACCTCTAGCCGACACGTGGCCCGAACGGGTCGAGCAACGAGCCCACGACTCACACAGACCACATGTGCCTTGCAAGTATACCTTCTTTTAGAGCTTCTAAGAAGCATTAAGAAGATGTTTTTGGGGTGTCCAGAAAGGTTAACTGACTGTTTTGATGAACGTAACTCTCTCTCTCTCTTACAACTCACTCTCTCTCTCACTCTCTCTCTCAAACTCACTTAACTTGCGCGTATCCATTGTCTAAACGCTCTGCGTCGTCTTAGTTTGTGTTTTAATGTTTGTAAATACATGTATCATTGTAACGTAGTGAATGCTTAAGTAGTAACTTTATTAAATGCAAAATATGCTTACCTTGACTGACTGTCTTGCTCATAATACGGGTCAATGAAATGTCAATTTAAAGCTACACGCTTTACAGAACTATAAATACCTAAGAGGGTATTTGGTTATAGAGCAGGGAAGGCAGATTCTAGTGGCCACAGAATTTGTTTTCACAAGCTATATAACTTAATTGAGCTAATTGATTTTGCCTGTCTTGTAAAACGTGGTCCTTGCAATCAATAACAATTAATTTGTGGTTGATTGG